CTGTAAGAAGTCTGAGGTAAAATTGACATAACTGTTGGATTAGGAAGATGGGAAAGAAGATTTGAGAATGGCATCTGACAAGTTTCTAGCTTGGGAGACAAAGGGTATGGTGTCTTCATATCATTGAAAGAGAATATAAGAAGAAAACCTGGTTGGGGAAATAGAAAACCATTTCTAAAATTCTGCTTGTGGTTAATTTAGCTTGAAAAAAAGAGAAAAACATGTAAAGCAAATTTGTTGAGCTGTAGAGATTGGGAGAATATTTTCATTTAGACTACAGGGAATTAAGAGGTAACTTCGTATAGATCGTAAGATTTCATAGAAAAAAATGTCCCTAAGTATAGTTAAAATTTGTCTTCTTAAGTAAAATAAAATAGTTACTAATAACAATTAGACTTTCATTTCTTTAATGGGGTTTTAGGATTAAATGAACCTAAGATAAAGGAATCTGAATCTCTTACTTTCCCCAGCATAAACTCAGCAGTGGTGTCAGGACCAGGGGTTACCAGCACTACAAGGGTCGTTTACAGAGGAGACTTCTCAGATAGTGAAAGGACCTTGCCCTAGGATCAGGGAAGGGAACATGCCGTGTGTGGGGCTCAAGGGGGGACAAAAAGGGGGATCACGGTTATCACTTTTGAATTTGTCTTCTACACCTTGATCATTAGGTCTATTTGCTTCTATTTTTAAGTGCCTGGTTTTGAGAGATCAATTTTGTCAGACCACGTGGGGGGGTTGGGTTAGTTAGGGAAGATGGGAAAAGGCTGTCTTTACCTGAGATACCTGAGTAGGAGGAAGTGGGAAGGGAACACCCTACAGGCAGTTGTGGTCACGTTGAGAGGGACTTTCATGGAGATTGTCCAGTGGGAATTGGAAATATGAATGTGGAACGAAATATTTGAGCTATTGACTTAGAAGTGGTTGATGAATACCTTGGGGTGAAAGGTAGTAGACAGGATCTGCTGAGGGGAGAACAAAGAATGAAATATAAGTGGATCGTAATGGAATTTCTACTGATTCAATAATTAAAAGGTATGCTGATTCAGAGGAATATGAAAAAGAGACAAAAATCAAACATTCACAAATGTAGGAATGAATATATTTATTCTTTAAAAAGTACACACAGAAACTAAAGAATGCCTTTCTTTACAATACCTGGTCACTTTATGTCTTGTTATACTATATGCCTAACATAACAAAGTCCAATCTTGAAATATTTTTTAAACAAGGGTCAACAATGCTTTCTTTAAAATTATTTTTTTTAGTTTTTACTTTTAGAAAGAGAGGAAGGGAGGAAGAAAGAGAGGGAGATAGTCATCAATGTGAGAGAGAAACATTGACTGGCTGCCTTGCGTACATGCCCCAACCTGGGACCAAACCTGCAACCCAGGCTTGTGCTGTGACCAAGAATCGAGCTGGTGACCGTTCGGTTTGCGGTATGACTCTCAACCAGCTGAGCCACACAGGCTGGGGTAGATCAACAACACTTTTACTTAAAAAGTAAGACAACTTTATTGCAGCATTATTATTATATATGGCTATACTTTTCACATCAAGTTGGTTTAGTTCTTTGAAGAAAATCTTAATGCCTAACACTGTACAGATTATAGGGCTAGACAACTAGTTTAACAAATTCAATAAAAAATACTTTAGAACAATTATACTATAATTTGACTATACTAAAACTGTCTTTGATAATTATTTACAACTTTATCATAGTATAAACACTCTAAACTTTAAAACAAATCTATGGATTTTATACAAAAATATTCTAAAGTACAAATATAAGTTAAAAACTGAATAAAACATTCACCAGGTCCAGTGGAAACTATTATTAAGAATATATTCTAGGTGGTAAAATTTGAAGTGATAACCACAAAACAGTGTTTCCTTAATCATTCATACTTTTAAGTATTTTGGTAGTAATCACAAAGTTTAGAGTTTCATTGTATAATTTTCATGTTTATAAATACAAGATGTATAATTTCCTTCACAGACCACTTCTCTTTAGCTCATGTAACAAGTCACCAAAGTAATAAAAATTTCTTAGTCAAAAGTTGACATGCTGTTTAAAGTATATAAATTATAAAATTTTCAAAAACTTTTAGCTGATTCCCTTTAAAAAGGAAAAAGGTGTATGTTCTGCATAAGAGAAGACAAAAAAACCCCACACTGCTACCTGGTATAAAATCAATTAATTACAATATTCTCAAACTTTCGAAAAATATTAAGTACTAAATCTTTTTTAAAAGCCATTGTTTATGAATAATTATGGGCAGAATAAGACTTTCACATTTAAATAATTTTGGCATAAAATATATTTGGAATACTAGAAGAAGCATCTTGCCAAAAGGTGTCATTTTGCTGTGTAAAAAATAAGCATGCCTCTTCTTTAATAATTTTCCCCCAATGCTACAAATGACATTTTAAAAGATTTTATACATTTATTTTTAGAGAGAGGGGCAGGGAGGGAGAGAAACATTGATGTGCGAGAGAAATATTGGCTGGTTGCCTCTCACACACCCCCCAGTTTGGAACCTGGCTCACAACCCAGGCATTGAACTGGTGACCTTTCGGTTTGTGGGATGATTCCCAACCCACTGAGCCACACCAGTCAGGGCTACAAATGACATTTTAAAACAATGTTGATATTACTTACAGTTCTATTTTTACCTTGAGATACTAACTTTGCATTTGACCATATGTTCATAAAAATTAAAAGGGAGACGCGTGACCTAGTAATATGCCAATTTAAATTTCTGAGGAATTGTGTTAAAATGTCATTAAAACACACATTCTAGTTACCAACCACATTCTTATGAGAAAATGCACATTAAGAATATTGCCCTACAAACACAATTTGGACTTTAGTTTCAGCTTTGGTTTCTTTCCATTCTGTTAAGTAGAGTTATAAACATGGCATTTTTAAATAAATGTGGATACCAGAATAACAAGACAATTGGAAAAATACTTAAGACTTGTACTTTGGAACAGAGTAAATACTGGCGCTGGGAAACTTTTAAATGGCTAATTTTTCCAAACATGTTAGTGCAAATTGGCAAACTTTTAGGAGAATTTATTCATGGAAGGAAGGAAGCATAATCTCATCTTCATTCATTCCTTTTTCATATCGAACTGAAAACAAGCCTGCCCAGGGCAAACGGTTCCTTTGGAAGAGGAACCAAATCAGTAATCCGATGATGGCTAAAACGACTAGCACCGCAAGGGCGATACCTACTCCTCTGTAATCAGGGCCTAGAAGGGGGAAAGGTTTGACATTGGAGGATTATTATTGATTCTATACATTTGGCTGTGTGTCACATAAGTAAAGCCTATGCAAATTAGATGTAATAACTAGATTGTTTCACAGCGTGAACACAGAATTCAAAATCACCAACAGAGACTTAAGTGCTTTTCCCTCCCAAATTTAATTGTTTTCCCTTTCATTCAAATGCTCTCCGTTGGTATAGCAATTTCCTTCCAAAGAAACTAAAGCACTACCATTTTTCTCACTTTTACTTTTCATCATTCTATTGAGAATATCACTCCCATACTTTGACGGCAAATTGCTAAAAGCAGTAAATTTTTGTGTTTGACTTACCTAGAGCCAAATAAAAATATCATTTGCCTTAAAATGATTTAAACTTTTAGGCTGACCTCATTGAGTTCCTAGCTACTTGAATGCTGTCTGTGGCCCCTGTCTGCACGCTGCCAACAAGGACACTCTGTCCTGCGGCTTCCCTGTCACCTCTGTGCTAACTTCCCTTCTCTCGCAGGCGTCCAACAACGTACTATACATTCCATATGGATGTCTCACCTCCAAATGGATAGTTCAAAATGGCCAAAGCAGAACTCTTGGTTTATACCACCCTAACCCTGCTCCCACCACCCCCACCAAAAACTTCCAGTTTTCCATTCTACTCAGAATAGACCCGAATTCCTGATGCTTGTTTCCAGAGACCTAAGTCTCTGGCCCTGGCCCACCCTCGAGCTCTTCACTGAGTGCTCGTCAAGATTGTTCTGCTTTATGTTCTTTGCTGCAACTGGTACCTCTGCCTGGTGAGCCTCTTCCCCTGATATTTCCTGGGCAGATCTCAGCTTCAATGTCTCCTGCTCTTAGACATCTTCCCTGATAGCCCAATCTAGGGTGGCCACCCAGCTGGTATCAATCACACAGAGTTTATAGCTGTTTGATATTTTCTTCTCTTTTAAATATGGACCTTCTTGGTTATTAGCTGTCTTTTTCCACCAGGTTGTGGAGGGAGAAAAGGTTATCTCATTGTCTTGATCACAGGTGCACCCCAGCACATAGATCAGGGCATGATGTAGAGACGAGACCCGAACTATGTGCTGAACCAATGAATAATTATACAAATACTGATGACCAAGAACTGGGGTCTTAGCTTTAATATTTGTACACTAAAATGGACATTTTTATGCCAGATCTTTAAAAATGTTGCTGTGAAAAAATTTAGAGCTCTTTTTCTAGAAATGAAGTTATTTAGATTTTATGGTTATTTTATATATCAACTCATGATGGGACATAAATTCAAAGTATGATTTTCTATAGAAACCCAGGTTACTTTAATTAATTAAATCAAGTTTTGCAATGTTTTTAAGTTAATCACGAGTTTTAAGGGAATGAGGAGAAAGGAAGCAAACTGCAGGATTAAACTGTTGAGCTTTTATATATTTAAAATCTAGAATAAACTACATCTTAACATTTTAAAGAAATGACCCTTCTAATATGCTGGCAGCTTCTGCTTTTCTTAGGAAAGAATTGTACAAACTTTAGACTTTTAGTCGTGTCCTCTGTAAGTCCTAGGCACTTGTGATCTGTTTTTCTAAAGGAAAGAATCTCTATGACTTAAGATTTTTTAAATACATTTTAAGAACTAAATATTTTGGGACCAAGCACAAAACTGCATGTTATTAAATTGTACATTTATTTCCTAACTTGTTCTGCCAAGATGTTTCTTAAGGGCAGGTTACACACTTACCGAGAGGGACTTTGCAGACAACTCTTCCATAGCCACGTGAACATTCAACCTTCATCCAAGTTTCATTTGAAGCTAGCAAAATGCTACATTTTCCACCATTGTTCTTACGTTTATTTGCCCATTTGACAAATGTCACTTCTGATCCATCTAACCAGTCCCAAGATTGATCTAAAGAAATTAAATACAATTATGTTTATTGCCACTAAATTACAAAGGTAAAAAGACTTGTGGCTCATACAATGTTGTGCCACTATTTGAAATAAAATTCATTAAAAGTGAAAAAAAAATTAAAATCAGTCCATCAGTTGCACTTTTCACATTTTAAGTGCTCAATAGTCATATGTGGCTAGTGACTACTATATTGGACAGTGCAGATATAGAACAATTTCATCTTTGCAGGAAGTTCTATTAGACAACACTGATGCAGTGTTTTCATTAAAGTGCCAAATTCTTGCACGTTTATGTGGAAAGACAGATTTCTAAAGACCTGGACCTTCTTCCTTTTCCCTCCCCCAGTGAAAAAACGCCTATCAGTAAAGGTATGCTGGTGGGGAAGGAAGGGTGCAGGAAGGCCTTCCTACCATGACTCCATCTTTATTTTCCAGCCATGGTAGTGCCACCTTGTGGTGAGAATGTAAACATAATTTACAGTTCACAGATGGTCGAATTTGAATCTATTCTCTTTTTGACAAGTACTTAAAGTTTTGGAATTCACATTTATTTCAAATATTTAGAATTAAACTTTGCATAAAATGTGAAACAGACTTCCTATTACTGTATTGTGTGTATACAATTTCAAGTTCACTCAAACCCTGTTACTCCTCATAGAGAAATTCTTCCACAGATCTTTTTGAATCAATTCTTTGCAATTTTACTAAGCTAGCTTGAAAAAAATTACTATGAAGACTTAATTTTTCTCTAAGGTAAAATGTTCCAAGAGGGAAGGAAACAACAAGAAGAGAACTTTCTGAATAACAGAGTTATTAAGTGAGAAAAACTTGGGGTGGGTGATAGACATAAGAATTCTAAGGGAAGTAAGTGATAGGGTGCTTGTAGTGGGAGAGGGGGCACAGATATCGCTGTAGAAGAAAAAAACACCCTGTTGATCCAAGTATCTTAAATCTCTAACAAATCCAGTTGGTTTCGACTGATTTTCTGTTTCATTAGGGTTTAACATCACTACTAATAAGCCACTCACTTAACTTATTCATTAGGAATTTATAAGCCTTTAAATCAGCCAGCAGACCTAGCTTATTCATCAAAAGAAGCATTTGAATTATAAACCATGTGGCTTTCTTTGGCAAGGCTGATTTGGTAGAAAGGACAAGTTAGAACTCCCTTTGCACACTGCACACACGAAGATGTCACTCACCAGAAGGATGCTGAGATACTCCAAGCCAAACTCTCATGGTAATATTATTATTTTCTCTCATCAGTCTGCTCACGAATTTATTCTCATCCTCATCCTTTATGGTAACAACAGTTGCAGAATGATCTGTTGAAGGAAAACAACCCCAAACAAATTAACTTAATGCAAACTAGGTTAGTGGTTTATTCTCTACCAGCCATTTAAAAAAAATTTCATAATCAAGATCATTTAAAATTCAAACCTTAACAGAGAATATATTTAAAATCTGATATCCATCAGATGCTTAAAAGTTAGAAATATTTCTAGATTGAAACTTTGTATGAAGAAATATTGTGTGTTTTAAAAAAAATCTTGGAACTGTCTCACCAGTGAGACTTTCATGTGTACACAGCTTGTCATTAAGAAGTGGGGTATGTGATGGTAGAAATATGTATTTCCCTGTAGAGTTTTAGCACTCTCTCTTCAACAACAATTTCTGCATAAATTTACTTCTGTTAAAATAAAAATTAAATCAAATAGATATGGGATATTGGGGAGCATTAGCCTTTCTTTTAATATTATTTTATACATATGTGCATTTGGCCATGCCCATTTTAAGTTTCTAAATATAGTATGGCATTGAAAGAGTGAATATTCTTGAAGTTGGATAGGTTGCCCTTACCCCATAGAGAAAATAGTGCTATCCCCAGCATCAGGCAAGGGATAGAAATAAAATAATAACCAGGCTTGGACCTCAATCCTAATGGAATCAAATAGTCTTCAAAAGCAACAAGCCTATCCATACTTGAACTTTTGTGATAGGGCGTATAGATCACCACAGTGTGCAGGTACTTTACACGTTACCTTGTTTAATATTACATAATCCTATAGAGGAAGGTATTGTCACTATTTTACAGATGAGGAAACTGAGGCTCAAGGAGAGTAAGTAAATTGGTTAGGTTTACACAGCTATCCAATTACAGAATTAGAAATTCAATCTTAATATTTCTAATAATAAGACTAGTTTTAAATGCTCACTATTTACAGGGCACAATTCTACATTTGCAAACATTTTCTCATTTCATTTATTACTACAACAACCCAATCTTTACACAAACTTTGAAGTAAGAACTACAGATCATCCTTCAACAATGGGTTTGAACTGTGAGGGTCCACTTATACGCGGCTTTATTTTTTCAATAAATACACAGTCAGCCCTCTGTAACTCTGAGTTTTACATCCTCGGATTCAACCAACCTTGGATAAAAGCCAGTATTTTCTACCTGTTGGGAATTCTCTAATGTGGAGAACCAATTGTATTCATTGATCTATGCCACTTTATATGAGGGACTTGAGCATCTGTAGATTTTGGGGTCTGCCGTGGGGATAGATGGGAGGGTGGTAGTGGTCCTGAAACCAGTCTCACAGATACTAAGGAACGAACATAAATTTTGGGGGAGTCAAAAGTTATACACAGATGTTCTGCTGCGTGGGGGCCGGTGCCCTTAAGGCATACATTTAAGGTTAACTATATTTTTATTCTCAATGTTTTCAGGTGAGAAAAGAGGAACAATTATATAACTTCCATAGTATCACTCAGCTTGTAAGTATAGGAGCTGGTATTTGAACCCAGACCTGTTTGCCTCCAAGGTTTTGGTGTTTAACACCCACAGTACAATGACAGTAAACCTTTCTATTTTCTTCTTTTGGAGCAAGAGGCATCTGACTTCCAGAATGCATATATAACTCACAGTAGTTTCCATCATATGCATGTGTATCTATCTATTTATCATCTATCTATCTATCTATCTATCTATCTATCTATCTATCTATCTATTATACATGAATGTGTATGTATATACAAGGTCTGGCCAGAAGGTATCGAGCCATGTAATATGAAAAACAGAGGCATTTATCAAAGAAGAGAAAAGAAACATTGTACATAGAACAATAACACCTCAGTCCCCTTCAAAGTAGGCACCTTAGGACTTCACACAATTCTTCCAATCACCATCAGCTGCCCTGTCATATTTTCCTGAATCTCATCGATGGTTTGAAATCTCTTGCCTTTCAAAAGTGATTTTAGTTTTGGGAAAAGCCAGAAGTCACAGAGAACCAAATCTGGGCTGTATGGGGACTGAGTCACCTGGGTGATTTGATGTTTTGCCAAAAAAGCACTGCACCAGACATGATGCATGAGTGGGTGCATTGTCGTGATGAAGCTGCCAATCACTTGTTGCCTATAGCTGCAGCCTTCTAAATCATCTGAATAGTTTCCATGGAAGAATGTTCAAGCTTTATGCAAAATCTGATGCAGATTCATTGCTCTATCTGCTCAGTCATTTTGAATGTGACAGGCACACAGTACTCACTTTCACTCAATGGTGTCTACTGCCCCCACTGTCCAGTACAGTGAAGTTGTCATTGTTCATACACGCGCATTCCATTCCACTCTCCTTGGCTGCCAGGTTACGTTGATGTCATGCAAACTGTTCTCGTTATGTTAATAGTAGCTGGATTTTTTTCAGGACAGACCTCGTATATCTGTGTTATACGCGTATAACACAACAGTTCTCATACAAAAGTTGCTATCATGTAGGTAAGCAGTTATAAGATTTTAAAATCTATCCAATGTCTTTACACAGCAAAATAAATGAGATAAATCTCATCTGCCTAGCTAAATTGCTACCTACTCAAGGATACAGGTCTCCTTGGAGTCATTTCACAGTTTGACAATTGGCTAAATTTATCATGGGAGAGAGTCAATCATTGCTGCCCTGTCTAAAATATTTAGTTATATCTGAAGAGAACAGTACTCTTCCGTATAGTATTCAGGTGATGTGAGCCATTGTTATTGTAGAATAGATGAACAACCCATGTTTCTTTGATTTTGTGACCCTGGTCAGGCTAAGCTTATTTATTAATAACTAAGTAATGAAAAAGTCAACAATTTTGTGTTTACTACTTAGCCAACTTTACAAAAAATTTAACTCTTGATCCCTTCATCTAAGCATATCTAGCTATATTTAAAACCATTTTTATTTGTCAGTATTTTAACAACAATTCACTTAGCAATTTTTCATTCTACTTCTACTCACTTTTATTTTCCTTGTACTTAGATTCATTATTTTTATGGCTATTTTAATATTCTATTAAGATCTTATATTATAAAATTTGGAACCACTTAGCCACCACTGAGTAATTAGGTTATAAGGCTATTATAAATAGTGAATGCTAGGACACCCACAGGATCATCAGAGTAAATGACTGATGCTCTCTCTACAATGTATAAAATGCATTTTTGACTTAAGGTACAATATTTTAATTTATGATGGGTTTATCTGGACATAATCCCATTGTAAGTAGAGGAGTATCAGCATAAGAATGTAGTAACTTACCAAACAGGGGAATATACTAACCCTAATTTATGTATTTCCAATAAGTGCTATTAAATCCACAATACTCTAAAGTAAATAAATATATATACAATCATCATTTCAAATTATTTCCTTAAAAAACTGCAATTATTAAAATATTGAATCAAAGAAAATCAATGAATTTTAACTCACCAAGTGCTGAACAAAACAGTTTGGCTCCTGAGAAACTGTGTAACGCCTGGTCAGATGCGTAACAGTGGTCCCTGTACTGGATCCACTGTGATCCATTGGCTGCTGGGCATCTCGAGGAGTATGTGTGAGAGGATGCCTCTTTAGCTATAAAATGTGAGACAAGTGTAAAAATACACAGAAAAAAAAGTGACCGACTTTAAAAATCTCATTCAGGTTCCTATTTGAAACTGGTTCCTAAGGGTAAGAAGCATTCAACTCAAAATACACACTAGAGAAAGCTATCGCCCATATTCTGGGAGTGTATGTTCTGATTAGCTTTTTGGAATAATATTTTTTAAAAAGATCTTGTTTATTTATTTTTAGAGAGAGGGGAAGGGAGGGAGAAAGAGAGGGAGAGAAACATCGATGTGAGAGAAAATCCTCAATTGGTTGTCCGTGGCACACCCCCAGGGGGGACCTGGCCTGCTACTCAGGCATGTGCCCTGACTGGGAATTGAACCAGTAACCCCTCATTTTGCAGGGTGATGCCCAATCCACTGAGCCGCAACAGTAGGGCTGGAATACCATTTTTAAAACTTGGAAGATAAATGAAAGTACTCGCCCTCTGAAATGGATTTAGACTAAATAAAAACAAATGGAAAGACAATAGGAAAAGAAGCAAAGACAAGCTAGGCAGGCCTGTGACTACTTTGAAATAATAATTAAAAGTCTTTCTTTCTTTGGATTCCTTTTTATTTTGATAATGTAAACCTAGTTTTACCTGTCATGTATAGAACTACTTTTAAAAAGCACAACCACAAGTGAAAATTTGGTAATGTGTTTACAAAATGCAATACATCAGCAGAGAAAAATCTGTTTCAAGCACAAAAAGAATAGGTGTGGCTTCCTGCCTCCTACAAACTTCCCTGGTTTTCATTTAAAATATTTAATTTTTAATTGTGCTGTATAACACAAGGAGCCTGTATAACAAAGCCTGTGCCTCTTAACACTATTACTAACCTCCATGGAAAGCAGTATGAGAACTGGAAAGTAAATTGTCAGCATCCTATTTGGGAGGTACAGGTTATCGGAATCAAGATCTGACCTGGTATGATCAGTGATCCCAACCCAACCTTTTCCTGCATACGCATTACATTTGGTCGGTGTATGCTTCAGTAACTGAGGGTTTTTCCTGCTTTTTTTCTCCAATCTCAGTTTGCTAGAGTTCTTGTTTGTGGTCCCAGTGATTCTAGAAGAATGGCTGCTGCCATTTCCTTCTTCATCAAGAGACTTTCCTGCCCTGGCTGGTGTGGCTTAGTTGGTTGGAGGGTCGTCCCATAATCGAAGGGTTGCGAGTGAGATCTCCCATCAGGGCACATACCTAGGGTGCAGGTCTGGCCCCTGTCCCAGCATGTGCAATCCCGGGTCTGGATGCTTACAGGAGGCAGCCAATCAATGTTTCTCTATCTGCCTTCCTCTCTCTCTATAAGCAATGAAAAAAAAATGTCCTCGGATGAGGATAAAAAAAACTTTTAAAAGAAAGAGAGTCTGGCTACTCTTAATTCCTTCTTCTGCTTCCCTGTTTTCTGTTTCTCCAGCTGGACTTGGTCTTCTTTGAAATTTAGTTATTTGATTGGCTTTTGCCTCCATTCTTTCCATTAATCTTTGGTTTGAGCCCTAAGTCTTCATTCAGTTTGACAGTTGATAACTCCTGGGTAAGTTTCCTAGTGACTGATGATCAAAGCTCATTGCCAAATTCATCTGTAAAGTCTGTAAAACTTGTAACAGCTCCTTGTTAACCCTGCTGATAGAGGGAGATGCTTCTAGCAAGTTCTTCCTTTTACCACCTAATGAAAATAGTTGCTCTCCCAAAAATATACTGCTGATGACTCCTTTGGTGCACAAGGCAATGATATGTGTTGCTTCATTAGATGTGAAACATATTGATCATTGGCTACCAATGCATGGCTAAGGCTGGTGGACCTTTGTGAATGGTTTGGCTTTTAATAAAAAATTTCTTCTTATACTGGGAACAGATGCAGATAGCTCATCTTCAAAGTCTACTTGTTTCTAGTCCAGTCTGCATCTGGGCTGTCTTAGGCTGCATAGATTTTCTTTCTTTACTATTCATGGAGTTTTACTTCCAACTCTTGCATTTTTTTCCTGCAAGGGTCAGCATTGTTGTAAGTTTGTTATATTCCTTTTCAATAAGAATTAATTTTTTATTGTAGTAAAATACATATAACTTAAAATTTACCATCATAACTATTTTTAAGTGTGCAGTTCAGTGGCATTAAGTTCATCTACATTGCAGAACCTCTTCATCTGGCAAAACAAACTTTGTACTTATTAAATAACTGCCTATTCCTTCCACTTCCCTCGTAAACACCATTCTACTTTCTGTCTTTATGAATTTGAAAGTTATAGGTACCTCACAGAAGTGTAATCATATAGTATTTGTCCTTTTGTGATTGACTTATGGTTCTTCAAGGTTCATCCATATTGTATTATGTGTCAGATTTTCCTTCCTTTTTAAGGCTGAATAATATTCTATAATACGTACATACCACATTTTGTTTACCCATTGCTTCATCAGTAGACACTTGGCTTGCTCCTACCTTTTCACTATTGTGAATAATGCTTTTTAAACATGGTTACACATATATCTGCCCAAATTGCTGCTTTCATTTCTTTTGGGTATGTACGCAGAAGTGGAACTGCTGGATCATATGGTAATTTTATGTTACATTCTTTTAGAAAACACTACCATTTTCATAGTGGCTACACACCATTTTATTTTCCCACAAACAACCTCCAAGAGTTCCAATTTCTCTACATTTTCTCAGACACTTGTTGTCTCCTTCCTTCCTTCCTTCCTTCCTTCCTTCCTTCCTTCCTTCCTTCCTTCCTTCCTTCCTTCCTTCCTTCCTTCCTTCCTTCTCTCTGATCCAGTTTTTTAACTCGTCTCTTGTATTAATTTCTCAGGGCTGCCATGATAAATGACCACAAACTTGATGGCTTAAAACAATAGAAACTTATTCTCATATATTTCTGTAAGGTAGAAGACTGAAAATAGGGTGTTTCTTTCTGGAGGGTCTAAGGGAGAATCTGTTTCGTGCATCTTCTGCTTCTAGTGACTGCTGTTGATCCTTGGCTTATAGCTGCATTGCTGCAACTTGTGCCTCTGCAGTAAGGGCCTTCTTCCCCTGTGTGCCTGTCTCTCCTTTTATAAGGACAACATCATTGGACGTAGGACCCATCCTAACTGAGTATGGCTGTATCTTAATTAATTGCATCTGCAAAGACTATTTCTAAGTAAGCTCACATTCTGAGATTCTGAGTGGACATAAATTTTGGAGGGACACTATTCAACCCAGCACAGTACTGAATTTGTGTTTGATCCTATTGCCATTCCTCTTCAGCCTGTAAAGTCTGTTCCTCTTACACAGATATCCTCTCTATTTCTGCATGCCTTATCATGTTTCTCATGTATTCTAATTTTTTTTTAAATCCTCACCCAACGACATGCTTATTGATTTTAGAGAGAGGGGAAGGGAGGGAGAGAGAGGGAGAGAAACATTGATGTGAGAGGGAAACATCGATCAGTTGCCTCTTCTGTGTGCCCCAACCAGGGACTAGTCTCATATGTGTGCTGACCAGGGACCAAACCCACAACCCAGTCATGTGTCCTGACCAGGAATCAAACCTGCGACTTTTTGCTTTATGGGATGATGCTCCAACCAACTGAGCCATACCAGCCAGGGCTCTAATTGTTTTTGTTTTTTTTAAAGATTATATTTATTTTATGTACCTAACAACTGAGATGTCAGTTCTTAATTGCATCTTTATCCCTAATCTTTATATCATTCTCCCTTTCTTGCATTCATTTGTTTCTCTAGGTACAGTTTTCATATTTTCCTCTGCCTGTATCTGTTCAGGTCCAAATGTTAAATATTCTCTCGAGGATTCTTTGGAGCAGAAAACATGGCAAGTGCTGATGACCAGGAGCTCCAAAGACCAACACCCCGCCATGCCTTGGCCTGCCCAGTGTGCCTTGTGCTCTCCCTCAAGTTCACACTCTCCCCACCAGAAACTAACCCAAGTCCAGCCCCTGAAAGAAGGGGCCCTTTCCTCAGATTTTAAGGATCATATACCGTATTTGGCCATGTACAATGGACACTTTCTTGCCCAAATTTTGGAGATAAATAAAGATGCACACTATACATGTGTAGAATTAATTACATATCTATATAAATGTTTTAACTCTTTTATTTATGTTTATGTGTTCGAAGTGTAACTCTAGAAAGTAATGACAATATTTGTATGCAAAATCATACCCTGGAATACAATAATTCATTTTGTTTCTAGATAAAAATTAATAAAAAATTGAATTAAAAAATTAAGATGACAGATTTTCTTTCCTGAAAGTTTGGGCCAAAAACGAGGGTCCACATTATACATGGTAAAATATGGTAGATTTGGAAAATGCTTAGTTACACAAAGTGCAACAGACTTCTTTATTATAGAAACTCTCACAGCCATCAATATGGTCAAGCGCCTGAGGCATTTCCCAAATTTACAGGCTGTGAAACACTTTTTAAAGAGAAGCTTGGTGCCCTGACCGCTGTGGCTTGGTTGGTTGAGTGTCATCCAGCAAAACAAAGGTCACAGGTTCGATATCCTCATCAGGGCACTGCCTGGGTTGCTGGCTGGTCCCTGGTTGGGACAAGTGCAAGAGGCAACTGACTGATGTTTCTCTCACACATCAGTGTTCCCTCCTCTCTTTCTCCCTCCCTCCCCCTCTCTCTAGAACAAAGAAAGCATGGTGATGGCCAGAGGGAAGGGCCCTGGGGCTGGGTGGAGGTGGACAGAGTGTGGAAAAAGGGTGGCATCCGTTATAGTGTCAAAAATAAAAATGAAGGAAAAAAAAGAAGCATCTTAGCCTTTGAAAATACTGCTAAATGAAATTAAAATTCACAAATTCTAGAGTTAAAGCTTACCTAGTGATAGAACAACTGAATGTCTTTGAGAATAAATTCTTTGAATGGGTATATTGTATTTACAAGGTATCAAAATTATATTTCTAGAATTGGTAAATAAACCTTATTTAAAATCTATAAAAATTCCTTTGAGTACTTAATCAAATGCATAAAACAAACATATTTTGGTAAATATACAGTTATTTGATATCAAGTCTTACATTTTGTAGGTTTATAGCAAATAGCACCATCCTTAAAAGAGTTGCATTTTTCATGTTTCCAAATTCCTTTTGGATCCAAGAAAACACAGTTTCCAGCAGATTGCTTCTCTTTCCATGGGATATAATCAAACGCACTGCCATCAGACCACTCGAAATCTGATTCCATTCCCTGTGTTAAGAATAACAGAGATAAACTGAGTCTAGGTGTATGACTTCAAAAAAACCCAACATAAACAAGGACATATGTACTTTAAGAAATATTGGAATGGGGCATTAATTATTTGCTCACAAGTGTTGTGGTTTGGGACCTATTTGTAAAATCAGGTTACTTTTGAAGCATTGATTTGAAACATTTGCTCTGGCACAATTTAAGTAGGATTTTAAATCTAAAGAAAGAATTATTACACTCTGTCTCCAGATTTACTTTGCTTGAGGATGAGTTTCTATACCCCTTGAAATTAAATGATGTGCAAATGGCTTCTACTTGTCACAATTACAGATTTACAATTCCAACATTGATATTATTCTAAGTATTGTTTTTTATGTTTTAAAGGTTTGTGGTTTGTGTATCTGGATACATTTGGTTTTTTTGTTTTGTGTTTTTTTTAAATCACAGAAGCCAGCAATCAGAAGGAAGCTAGAAGAGGAAAACACTTCGTAAGAACCTCATACGTGGAGATTACTTTTTATTTTTCCTTGATTCTCTAATCCTATTTTGCCATCCTTTATTTTACTTTCCCCACTTTGTTCTAAAGACTATTTCAATTCTAATCTAAATAGAGTCTATTTTTTTGTATACTAGACATTATTATAGGTACACAAAAATACTAATTAATAGGACTCAGATAGTGGCACAAAAGATGTGTTTAACAGCAAATTACTCTTAAATAGTGCTACTTTCTAGGGGGAAAGTTGAAAGAAAATATACCTTTATTAGTCCTAACGTTATGAATTTTACTTGGCACCTTATATCAATTTTTATGTTACTTTTCACTATAATCCTAGATTAAGGAAAATATTATCACTATGAAATTTTATAGATGAGGAAATAAGCTTGCAAATGGCGGATAACTTGCGCATGATCACCCGACATATAAATGGAAGCTCCACCACAACTTCTGGAACTCAGGTCTGTCTGATTCTGTGCTATTATTCCCCTTCACCAGCTTTTCGATCGGCCTCCCCCCAGACAGATTACAGAGGTGCTGAGTCAGTCATCTCCTGGGCCCTGGCAGCGTTTGGGGCGGCTGTAGTCCTGGCCAATTGCTGCAGTGCACTCTACAAACATCATTTTCTATTTGTCCTATGTTGTGAAAAGATAAGAAAGCCCTATGCTATGCGAATTGCCCTAGGGCTTATCTGATGTTATAGTTTGAATTAACATATTATGCTCAAATTTTCAAACCTCTAACATATTTGGAAAATTTCTGGAAAACACAACAATACTCACATCATGACTTGAGAGCCCAACCCATAATGGAAATCCATCCCGTTTTACAATATCTTCCAGGAAGAGCTGGTCATTTTGGTCATGAACACTTGCCAGATAACCTCCACTTTGGGAACACAGGTTTATTGCTTCATACCACGTTACTGTTTTTTGAATAACACTGTAAATACCATCTCCATATGGAATAAACTGTGGCAGAGTAGTATTATATTCTTCCTTGTAGTCAACTATAATATTTAAATGAAGTGTTAATGATTAAATTTAAATTATTTAAAATACATATTTTGGGTCATACAATCATTTCAAGAGTTAAATAAAACTGGGTTTCTTATTAAGAAGTAAGGCCAACTGCATACTTTATTTTTCTTATTGCCATGGCACGTTTAACAGGCTCTTAAATATTATAGTAGTCCAGCTGATTAAAATGAGGCATAAGTATCATCTTTCATTTAAGGAGCTCACATATTACTTGTGGACAGAAAACAATAACACCTGAAATATGGGAAAAATAATCACCCACTGGACTATGTGTACCTGACTAGAGAAGGAGAGATTCCTCTGAATTAAGGGAGTCAGAAAGCCTGCTTAAACAATTAGGTATCCAGGGGTCAGGTTAGTTAAAATTAGGACTAAAAAGAAATATGGTAACCAGAAAGTGAGCTAAAAACAAACAAATAACAATAATAAAACCACAATGTGAGGATATTTTGAAAGGACACAGAAGCCAAGGGAAAGAGTTCCCAATGTGGGCAAAATATAAACAATGCAGTATATCTGATTATATTCCGAGTATGAAAAAAATAACCATGAGCCCATACTGATATAAATGAATGACTGGATAATTTTTTAAATTACAGTGCACATTCAATATTATTTTTGAATTAGTTTTAGGTATACAGCATAGTGGTTAGACAATCATATACTTTACAAAGTGGTCCTTCCGATATTCTGAGTCCCCACCGGGCACCACACATAGTTATTAAAATATTATTGACTGTATTCCTCATGGCTGTTTTGTGACTCCCAACCTGTACTTCTCATCCTTCACCTTTTCACCCGGATCCCCAATCCCCTCCCCTCTGGCAGCCATCGGTCGGTTCTCTGTATCTATGAGTCAGTTTCTGCTTTGTTTTGTTTGTTTATATTGTTCTTTGAATTCCAGATATAAGCAAAGACATATTTATCTTTCTCTGACTGATTTATTAAATGACTCTATGAATTTTAAAATGGGGGAGAATAGATAAACCTCCTGTGTGGTAGAATTCCAAATAATTTATGTAGCTACTCCCCCCTTCAGGAAGGTGGACAGTAACTCTCCACTGCGTGAGTGTGGACTGAGTACAGTGACTTCCTTACCAAGCCTGCAATGGAAAGGGGAAAAAGGAATCACTTCGCAGTGAAAAACCTGACAGCATTACCTGGCACCAGGTGATCAAGGTCAACATGAATAGCGATAATCATGTTGACAGCATCCTCTTCATAGGATGTGATGAGGATGACACTGCCTTTGTGGTTGTTCCCTAAACTCCAAACCTATAATCCCAGTTTAATCATGAGAAAAGAATGTCCCAAACTGATGGACATTCTACAAAATATATGACCAGTGCTCCTCAAATCTGTCAAGGTCACTTAAAGCAAGAAAAGTCTGAGAAACTTGTCATAAACAAGAGGCACCTAAGGAGACATGAAGACCAAATGTAACATGGTATCTTGAATGGAACCCCAATCAGAAAAATGACATTAAGTAAAAACTAAGAAAATCAGAATAATATATGGACTTAGTTAATGACAACATCAATATTGGTTTATTAATTGTGACAAATATACTGTATTGATGTAAGAAGTCAACAATAGGGAAAACTGGTTATGATAATATATGGGAATTCTATGCACCATCTTCGCAACTTTTCTGTGGATCTAAAACTATTTTTAAATAAAAAGTTTATTAAAGCTACATAAATATAGAAAGAAGGCGAAAGCCTTCTTGGCCTGGAAAAACCACAAATAAAGGTATGAATGAAGATGGGCACATACTGTCCATGGGACAATTAAGAGATGAGTCTGGCAGCAAACATCTTCTCTGAGCCAAGAATGGAGGAAAACGGGGGCTGGGAGAAAGCCTAGAATTTTAGAACAGAAAGTGGTTTCTAAAGAGCCTCAAAAGCTTAACATGCACTCAACGTAACTGACAACAGGAAATCCCTGGAGATTGTTGATGGAAACGATGCTTTGGGGAACTACGTGTAGCTCCATGAAGGAAGAAGATCGGCCTGGATATGACTGTGAGAGGACCCATGTTAGCAGAAGGCTTTCAGCAGAGTGGCCGTAAAACTTAATAGTTTTTAAGCTGTGAAGAATTCAAAACTGACATGCATTTAAAAATAGATTTTTTAAAGGAATTAGGCAAAGTTGAGAGAGAATCATTTTTAGCCTGCAATGTCAAAACTCTACCTAAACACATTTTCTTATTTATAAAAGTTGTATATCCATCCTTGAAGTAGCAGCCAAGTTTTACCTGCTCCGTGAATTCCTTGTTTTCATTGATATATTTTGACTTCCTAAGTAAGCTAAGAATAATCTACATAAAACAGTGATGAAGTTAGTGCTGTCTCCCTGGCTACATTTTACTCATCAAGCTCAAGACCATACACCGGGGTGGTGTCTCTTCCCTCCTTTGTAACTTCTGTAGCACCTCCCATAGGGCTGAATGTAAAGGAGACTCTTAGAAAATGCAGTTGCAAGATTTCTACTAGTGAAGCTATGTCTTCATATTCTCTTTCCCTGGAGTGGAAACTTTTTATATTAGCATACTTACCCATTTCAATTTTACAAGCAAGAATGCTGTGCTGATGAAAGTCAAGTATTTCTTTAAGAACATTAAAGGGTTGAATATCCCAGAAGCCATCAGTACTCAAGCCAGCAAAAAACTGTCCATTTTTTACAGTTGGTCTTCCTTCTCTCCAGTGCGTGTATGATAGCATTGTCTTATCAGACCACATGAGAGAATTATCTAGAGAAGAAACATTGTTTTCTCTGCTTAGAGAGTAAATCAACACTTGAATTACAGTTATGAGATTAATATTTCAATCTCCATTTTTCTTTCTTCTTTCTCCATTTCCTAAAAGATTGTACAATTATGTGTATTCCTCTAAAATAATTCTTTTTCTAATGCTTATTTTTAATTTGGAAAGTACAAATTATAAACATGAAAGTCAAAACTTATCTATAATTCTACCATTGTGCAATAACTTTACATTTTGTTATCTTTCATCAAATAGTCATTTCTTTTACATATATATTTAATTACAATGAAAAAAAGTAACTATTTTATTAAAAATAATGTATTATAGGCCCTGGCTGGTGTGGCTCAGTGTATTGAGCACCGAACTGTGAGGCAAAGGGTCACCAGTTTGATTCCTGGTCAGGGCACATGTCTGGGTTGCAGGCCTGGTCCCCAGTAGGGGGCGCATGAGAAGCAACCACACACTGATATTTCTCTCCCTTTCTCCCTCCCTTCCTCGTCTCTAAAAATAAATAAATAAAATCTCTTTAAAAAATGTATTATAAAACTAGTGATAGAAATCTCTTCTCTTGACCTGAACCATATACAATTGTGCACGTTTATGTCAGTTAATTTTTGACAAGGGTGCCAAGACAGTTCAATGGTTAAAGAATAGCTTCTGAGAGAACAGGAATCTTTACATTAAAAAAAAAAAAAAAAATGAAGTTGGACCCATTCCTTTCACCCTATACAAAATTAATTCAAAACAGATCATAGATCTAAATGTAAGAGCTAAAACTATAAAACTCTTAGAAGGGAACATAGGAGTACATCTGCATGACCCTGGGGTAGGCAAGGACTTCTTAGATATGCACAAGTGATAAAAGAAAAAAAAATAGATGAATTGGACTTCATTAGAATTAAAAGTTTTGTGCTCCAAATTATCGAGTAAGTATTATGAATTATACTATCAAGTAAGTGATAGGAGAAAATACTTGCAAGACATTTCTTTGATAAGGGACTTATATCCAGAACACATATAGAATGCTTAGAATTCAACAATAAAAAAAGACAAATAATTTAAAAAATGGGCAAAGGATCTGAATAAAGATTCCTCTAAAAATGACATACAAATTACCAATGAGTACATGAAATAATGCTTAATAGCGTCAATCATCAGGGAAATAAAATTAAAACCTCAATGATATGCCACTTTAGGTCCACTGGGATGGCTATAATCAAAAAGATTTGTGCTATAAATCCAAAGGTGCAACATTTGAAGAAGTATAATTCTGTTCTCATCCTATAAACATAGTACAGATACAAAATAAGTATTGAAGATTTATATGGGGATGTGATAATTTTTTAGTTAGTCTTGAACTGCTGGGAGGGAGGGTAGAAAAACAAAATTATTTCCACCATTTAACTCTAAGCTTGATGGTAAAGAGATTTTAATAGCAGAACAGAGACACAAAAACTGTCTTGGTATTTCCATGTTATGCTAAGTGTATAATTATAATTTTGTATATTAATAAACATCTACTTTAAAGAACTATACTTTTATACTTTTATAGCTTGATAAACAAGTAGTTTATAATGAGGTATAAATATAGAGAAAAACATAATATTTACAACTTACTTTCATAAATTACACCTAACATTACCCATGACGCCATATAATTAAGGTGTAGAAGTTGCTCTAGAACAAAGTTATTCTCTTTTTCATCACGAATACTCAGCATATGTGATTTTGGATCTGTTAAACAAAAAAGTCAATCATTTTAACAATTATTTATCTATAACACTTTATTTTGTTTAATTTAGAACATTTTATTTCCCAGTTTAATACACTCCCAAACTTAAACAATAGCAGAAAGTAAGAAAGACATGTTAATCAAAACTGTCTCATTGTACTAAAATGAATAGGTTAAGAGATCTTTAAACATTCTGATGTGAAACTGGGTCTTACAGAAGAGTGACAAGCTAGTAGCTGAGTAGAGAATTTAGAACTGATTCACTTCATTTTTCCCCATTTAAAGTTTATTTTAAGTTGGCACAAATCTACCTACATTAATGATACGTTGTCAGAGACTATAATAAATAAAACCTCTTGGATGGGCTATAAGGCAGATCTTCTTTTTTCTTAGCGTCACTCTTATATTAGGATTAAAGAAGTTTGATATTCCCCATAGTGTGTTCCTCTGGAAATTAGTAGGGGTTACCCAGAGAAGAGCTACATGGATAAAAACTTTGAAAACACCAGATAAACAAATGAAGTTCATTTGATTCATTTATGCCAGTATTTCTTAAAACATATGCAAACGCACAACTGATCATCACTAACATGAAGCGATGGTGTGTAGTGTTGCTTAATTTTGCTCTTTTTCTAAAGATCCTTTTTTTGTAGAACATCTCAATACTAGAGTTCTAGAGAGCACATTTTGAGGGATAATGGCTGGATATGTTCTATAGGAAGTTTCCACAAAATTCATAGGTCCACTGTTCAGAAATTACAAATCCTCAGAGGATCTCAGAGGAAATATCTGAAGAGTCTTCAAAGTATGTATTTTTTTTTAAAGCAGACTGCTTCTTTGTGGCTTGTCTAAGCTTTTGATCATTCAAATTAAATTTTTTTTGAGTCCCTGTCCACTTTATTCAAATGATATATTTTTTCCTTTGTGAAATTGAGAACTGAGGACAAATTGAAGAAAGCTTCATATATTATATTTTAAAATAAATTCTCTGAATTAAAAAATAAGGGTCAATAGGATAGGCACAGTTGTGGGTCTTGTCCCAGGAAACAAAGCCACCAAGACAGTCCTGCGAATGGAGGATGGCAAATCCATTTCTTAAAAAAGTGTTCTTGGGACGTGCCCTGACTGGGGATCAAACCCACAACTTTGGCACATGAGCTCTAACAAACTGAGCTACCTGGCTAGGGCCAAATTAACTTATTTTCATTTTGCCAACAGCCTAGCTTGATTTAACACCCAGTTCTTCCTATCTACTGTCATTTCTTTTCCTTTTTAACTATTATAGAACCCATTTTATTTACACATGTAAAGACAGACCAGTTCTCTAATGCATGGGTAAAGAAAGAGGTAACTCCTATACCCTCCATTTTAACTAAACACAAATTTTAATACTTCGTTGTTGAAAATATATATAAATTAGGAGAATATTTTTGAGATCTTGTTACTAGTGCTAATTAGAAATATTTAAAACACACTCAGCAAGATATTTCAAAATGAGCACAATGCAATGTGTAATGGCCATATAATATACTTACTCAGTTTTTGGCAACTAGAATGAACATCATCTTGTGTTACTGGCATAAATCTATTCTTTGCTATCATGAAATTGTAGCAATAGTTCTGATATGGTATCCATGGAGTATTTAAAACAGGAGATGGACATCGAACACTGATAACCGGTTTGACCTCTCTTTCAGTCTCATCTAGAAAAAAGAATTAATGGTATAAATACTAATTTTAGCTGTAAGTGTTAAATTCTGTTTATAGCAATTAGACTTGATTAGTAGAAAATTTTCAGGGAACCAAGAAATAATAGCCTGGTGATGCTTGTTCTTTTTATACTCAATATAATGTGACCTCTTAATTGGTTTTCTGTAGGAAAAAACTTATTTAAAAAAAATTTTTAAAAGATTTTATTCGTTTATTTTTAGAGAGAGTGGAAGGGAGAGAGAAAGAGAGGGAGAGAAACATTGAGTGAGAGAGATACATTGATTGGCTGGCTGCCTCTCGCATGCCAGCAACAGGGAATCGCCACAACCCAGGCACGTACTCTGACCGGGAATCCAGCAGGCAACCCTTCAGTCTGCAGGATGACTCCCAACCCACTAAGCCACACTGGTCAGGGTGGAAAGGAATTATTTAACACAGTAATTTTCTTTCCCTTGCAGCAGAGTGGAAGAATGTAAAAAATGAGGTGCTATTAAGTTAAATGTAGCTTTTGTCTTCCTGTATCTCCAAACTTCAAATAAGAGGCCACCTCAGAGAAACTATACAAACACAATAACAGGCACCGAACTGTAACTCTCAGAATTCACCTTTATGTGCCTGGTTAATGATAGCTTCTTTGGTTTTAAAGGAACATTTTAATGAAATATGTGATATACTAAATAACTTATTGCTTTCACCAAAGCAAACAGAAATAGTTTAAAATCTGACATCTAGAAAATCTGTGTTTTTTTTTCATTTTGTGAAAAGGTCATGCATTCATGAAGATGCAAGTATCGATATACTCTACTCAAAGCCAATCGGCAGCTTTGATACGTAGTAGAGACCATTCCATGTCTCTCACTGCCCACGACTAGTTTCTTTTTCTGTGAAGTAGTATCTTCTTCTTACCCCAAACCCACAAATGTGGACCTCTAGCAGTTGTAAAACCACTTTCCTCTGACTGAGCTAGAAATTGCATACCTCACTCAAGCTGAGTCCTTCAGCTTCTCTTTAAGAAATTGAAAAGTGGAATTCAGAGACAGCCAATTCACCTCCGGTGAAGGTTTTAAGTGAAAGGTGCAGAGCCGCCATGTTTCACCGCGTGCAGAGAGAAGCAGAAAGTAAATAAAGAGGGGAGTGCAGATCCACAGAAAGGACAGGCAGGAGACAGTACCAGTTTCTGGTTCTCATTCCTCATGAGGCTTAGCCCTATACCCATTTTTGAGAATCTAAAATTCTGTTTTATTTTAAGCTAGGTTGAGCTGGATGCTGTTCCTTATAAACAAATGAATCTTAACAATGACTCATAGAAGAAATTTTAGTGGATGGTAATAATTAGAAAAGAATTCCCACAAATATAAGATTTTTGATAAGAATATAAACAGAAATTAGACACAAAATTAGGCTAATGGGGACTTAAAACTACAACGTCAATTACCATTGTCAACTGAAAAAGATAAAACATGTCTAAAATAACAAATTAATGACAAAATACTTAATATATAATTCTAGTTGGATACAAATTATCACAAATTTTGTAGTTAAAAGGACATAATTATAATTTCTTTATGATTTTACAAAACTGCTCCGCTCAAATTCCACTACTTATGAGACTAGATAGTAATTTAAGAAATAAAGTATTCGAATTTAGCATACTTCCTGGATAGTAGCAAATTGCACCCGGTTGATTAGCATCACAATCAGATGTTTTCCAGAATCCATCAGTGTCTAAAAACACACAGTTCTCAAGAAGCTCATTATTTTCAGCCCAGCGACTAAACTTAAGATGTTTCCCATCTGACCAACCAAAGTTGAGTTCATCCTGCAAGGAGCAGAAATACATTTCAAGTGGCAATACTTCATGTTATCCCTTAGCTTTGGCCCTCATGGTCAATATAATGACTTTTAATTTTACCTTATATTTAATATACCCTTACATAGCACTTACTACATGCCAGGGACTGTCCTAAATAAGTTAATATTTAGAAATACTAACTTAGCACATAACAACCATATGAAAGAGGTACTATTGTACCCATTTTACAGATGAGGAAAATGAAGGCAGGTAGTGTGCACAGTCACATAGAATATAAACTGCAGTGCTGGGATTCTAATCCAGGCTGTCACACCCTAGCATCCATGGTCTGATTTACTACACTATGCTGTCTCACACATTATCAGCATCATTGGTTGTTAAAAATCAGAAAGCTAAGATGCAGTGAGGACCACTGTAAGTACTGATAAAGTTAGAAGCAGCATGTAGTCGTGAAGAGAACATGGGCTTTGGAGCTTAACACACTTAGTTTTGAGTCCTGGTTTGGTCACTTATGAGTTCTTGATTGTGAGTTTACCTCACCAATTTTCATCCCCTAAGCCATTAAATGGATGTGACACCTAATTTCACGGTGGGAACTAATGGTATAACATGTGTAAAACACATAACTCAGTGGCTAGCTGGTACACACAGAAAGCTACATAACTGCTCGCTCCCTTCCTCCTAACCTTCAGACCATGTGGATGTCACACCACTGCTTTCACACTTGTCTGTGGGGACGTGCTTCCTTATCATTATGTTCTACTGTGTGCTCAAAGTCTGTCAACATCTTTCATTACATCCTGACAAGGGCCTGCCCACCCACTTATCTTGAGGAGGCTTTGCAGCGTGGGTACAGAAGTCTGGAAGGTAGATTGTGGGGTTTGGTCCTGTCAAGCTTCTCCACAGTGCTGCCAGAGCCCCAGGCCTTCCACAGTGACTCACGGAGCGAAGCTTTCCTGATTCCTAAGGTAGTTTTGTATCACTGATTTACTTGGAATATTGGGCAAAGGCCACACAGTCCCCTTAGTGAACCATAAATAGCAAACATGGTCAGGCCTCAACACCACGAGTGTTTTCATTCTGAGCTGTTCTCCACCAGAGTTCCACTTGTAACTTGTGCCTGGTGAATCTCCAGACCACGTGGCTTCATATGTGGTCCTTTGGCCATGTGACGTTGCCTGTTCTCCGGATTACCCTGGATTCTGTCCCCTTTGCTGCACTCCCAACTAACCCGGGTCGCTGGGTCTCTGCAACTTATATTTCTCATAGATAAATCTTCCTACACCCGCCATTTCTTTACTGAATACTAAATCTCTTTATTAAGACTACACATGTCTTTGCTGAATTCTCGACCTAAATTAAAACCTGTCTTTTCCAAGAGAATAATTTCCTTTCATCACCCACAAGGGAAGGCTGTTTGTTTTCCCATTGTCAAATATCATAGGGCTACGCAAATGGGGTAGTGGGTATTTTTACCTCCTTCAGTCATTTCTCTTGAGGTTTATGCCCTTCTTATCACTGCAAATTCCAGATGTCTTGCCTCTCTGACAGTCACTAAGAATCTGGTCTACTTGCTCCTCCCTCACGTTCACTAGGGAGATGCTCCATGTCTTGCTCCGCCCCGGTCCTACTACTGATTTAGGGATGTCTATGTCACATGGATGATTCACCCAGTTCCCAAGCTTTCTTGACTTCCTCTACTTCTATATACTTGAGTGACCTACTGCCGCACTCATACTCTGGATTTTATATATCCCAGTACTGCACATTGTGGACATTGTAAATATGCCTTCGTTCAGGCTAACATCATTTTCTGAATGACTGACTAGTCTCCTATCTCTAGATTGCTCACTTCTTCCCCGACCTTCTACCCAGTGAAATTTTTATTAACCAAAAAGCTGATATTGCTGATATCATGTTTAAAATTTTTCGATACCTTTCAATGTAAAGTTTTATTTATTTATACATTGTCATGTCCCAAAGATTTAAGGCAACTTACGGAGATACATAGAATTTTTTAAAATAAAAAGTAACAGGAAAAAAGAGAAATATAGGTGAAGACTGAAAAATAAGATGAGAAGACCCAAATCATTAAGTGGGGAAAAAAGCTATAAAAGAATATGATCCCAATTATCTTAAAAATAAATATGTGCACATAGACAAAATAACTTGAAAGATATACACCCAATTATTAAACTGTATTTATCACTGGGTACTGGGTGTACAGCTTATTTAAATATTTTATTTTAATTTACTATAACTTTACACATTGTCTACATTGACAATATTGCTTTTGTTTCAAGAGGCTTAATGTGATTGAAACTAAGAAATATAATAACTTACTATTACCCTCACCAGAGACAGAATGATGGGTTTCACATGATAACAAAAACCAAAGAGAAAGTAAGTAAAAACAATGTTGTGAAGAAACTGATACTGTGAAGTCTGGGGAAGCAGTTCAAGCTGATGGTCTGGCTTGACTTGGGGGTACCTTTTAAAATATCCTGAGTCTTGGAGAAACTATTCTTCAGCAATTTCTAAATACTCCTTCTTTTAATTGAGCTCCTGGTAAGGGCTAGTGGTAATAAATCCAAAGTTTGTCAAAGATAATGGTTACTTCTGATTCTGTTCTCCACTTCAGCTCTGGGTTTGTGCTAGGACTAAATTGTCTTCTAGCACATTTTCTCCATGTGGCCCTAAAACCATCTTGGTATACTGACAGCGTTGCATGACTTTTGTCTGCTTCACAAGGAAATGGGCTCACTCCTCTCTCCCACTCTGTCAGCTGCCCTCTTTCTCAGAGTGAATTAGGAATACTGGTCTAGGTGACATTTATTAACTAGGGCTTCACCAGTCATGCATGGTGTAGATGTAGGGGGCAAACTTCACATTACCAACTTGGTAGATGGTGCCCTCTGTGAACTACATAACGTATGCAGCCTTATATTCCACCGCTATATCTTATCCTTTAATACATTTTGGTGGGTAGAGTATCAGAGTATTACACAGAAAACCTAGAAAAGAGGCAAAATGGCCTGTAACACTGAGAAGAATATTACTGCTTTATTTTTTAAAAGTCCCTATTAATTCTGACCGAAAGCTTCAGCAGCATAAATATTCCCATTTGTGCTACCTGTATATAGTTTAGAGTGGGGAATTAATAGGAGACTAGCATTCCTTGCTGGGCTATGAAATGCATGGAGGCACGTAAAACATCTGTTCAGGATAGGGCTCGAGATGTGGAGAGACACTATTTTAATGCTTTCTTATGGTGGCTTAATTTCACTCTGCTGATTCTGAAAGTGATACAGAAGACTCTTCAACACCATCTATAGTGTTTCTACATACCCAACCCCATCTGATTTTTAAATTCTTCCCTTCCTCTCTTTTCCTTGTTGGCTGAGGAGGCATGGCAGCTCCTGATTACAGCCCAGTCTTTGATTGCAATACAGAAAAAGAGATTGGCTACATGTCCACTAGAATTTTTTTTTTAATCTCAACAATAAAGCACCAGATCTTTAAACAGTGGAAAGATGATTGCCACTAAAAATTACATATTTCATGAAATTCCTTCACTGGAGCAAGGTTTTGTGACCTCTGGTTTCTTTTAGTCTGATATGAGAGATGCTGTGCACAATAAAAAGAAAAAAACATGTCACATCCCATCATCCAACCCTGGCCATTGGGACTGAAAACTTACATCTTGGCTGGAGAGTCCAATCCACAAGGAAGAGTTTCGAAGGACCGCCTGCACAGTCAGGAACGCCTGCTGGTAGGGGTCTGCGATGCTCACCAGGTGCATTTGGTCTTTCTGGCATTCCCTCAGAGCCTCGGTCCAAGTCAGAGTCTTCAGGATTATTTTGTACAGATTATTTAGATATTTTACAGTTTCTGAAGTATTCTGTAAGGTCTGGCTGCCTTCAATTTCTGTGTGTAAAAGAAGAAAAAACAAAAACTACACAAGTCATAGAACATTTAAGAATTTTCCTCAGTATAATGTACTTTAGATATTATATACTTATCTATTCATTTATGTTAGATTTTGGATGGGAGAACTAGGTATGTCTCCCTGTATACCTTAGGTAAAATGGTATGGGCCCCAACATTTGTTTTCTAAAATTGGAAAAAATATTCTGTTTAGTTGATGTGATGTAACTAAAAGTAGGCTGTGAAAAGATTACCATTTCAAGTTGCTGGCAAATACTTCCATTGTTTGAACTGCTTCAACAAGAGGAGTTCCATTACAGAGTTTTCATCTGAGGGAGTTCCCATGAAAAAATGTACAAAACCACCCACAAGAGGATATGTTTAAATTATTGCTTTATAGTACTTTCCTAAATAGGGCAGTTATTAAAAAGTATGAAACAAATGAGCAAAGATTAATTCAGCAAAAAGTTCTTCAGAAGTACATATATCATCTACTTGAGATTCTCACTAAGAAGTTTTTAAGAAAACGTATTTGTTAAAAACTTATTGTGATCAGTGAAAACAATACATTTTAAAAGTACAAGTGATTTGTATTTTTAAGTATAATTTTAGTTTTATTTGGCTTATAGAAAGTCATAGTGATCCATTTACAAATGTTTCACATCCTTTTTTTAGTGTTAAATTTAACTGTGAATGCTTATACTGAACTAAATTAAAAACATTAAGTTTTCATCCTCTTTTTCCCATGAGAGAAAGTAAAATCTGAAAAATTCTGGAGTAGAAAGGAGAATAAAATTCAACTATAACTTATTATCATCAGACATCTCCAATTAAGAAATTCCATCTGATACTTAATTTTTTTATTTAATTAAGTATGGCAATAATACTTGAAAAAAATCACATTCCACTCGAGATAATCTGACTCACTGAGCCAATATGAATTTAGTCATGTTGAAATTTTAAGAAAGCTATACAATTAAAAATTAATATTAATTCATTTATAAGATTTTTGTAGAAAATACTATACATATCTAACATCATGAAGTACCATAGTTATCTAGATAATATCTCTACCTGAGTATTTCTGACAGAGAGACAGAGTGTGGCGTTCAGTGCAGGAAGTAAAATTCCATGTCCCAGTAAAAGGCGACTTTCGGTGGTTGAGCATTAGGGCACAGTGGTAGTTGGACTCTTCATAAAACATCTAAACAAAAAGGCAGGTACAAGCAATCATGAAGCTAACAGTCTGAAGACCCTAGCAAAACTTTACACTCCAAATTGGATTTCTCCTCCTATAAAAAATTCCATTGAGGAGCTGACCATAAAGTCTCTAGGAAAATCCTGATGAACTTCCAAAGCATGAGAAAAGGGCAAATAACTTCAGAAATTATAAAACAAAATAGTGGCAACATTAATAAATATATCTTAAAAAAAGATAAACTGTTAGGAATGAGACAAAAACACAATTATACCAATATAAAAAAAGATTTTATTTATTCACTTTTTTTTTTTTTAGAGAGAGGTGAAAGGAGGGAGAGAGAGAAATATCAATGTGAGAGGAAACACCAATCCATTGCCTCTCATAAGTGCCCTGACTGGGGACCGCACCCCACAATCCAGGCATGTACTCTGACTGGGAATCAAACCAGTGATGTTTTGCTTTGCAGGCCAACACCATCCAACTGAACCACACCAGTCAGGGCTCGGCTCTCATTCTCGACATTTCAAGTAAGCAGAAAAAAAGTAATGGCTATTAACTCAACTTATTAGATGTTTATAAACTTTTGACAAATTTTGTACTACACAATGGAGAACTCACCTTAAAACTTTAATCCTATACTAGTCACTATAAAAACTTCTATAAATAAAAGTACCTATTTAGATTCCATTCTCTGGCCACAAATCATTAATATTAGACATGAAAATGTATTCAAAGTATATTGTCCCTATACTTTTTTGTATGTTTGAAACATAACCCAATTAGGAAATAAGAAACACTTATCCCAGGACATGCAAATTAAAAAGCAACATCAACTGCCCAGACTGGTGTGGCTCAGTGGATTGAGTGCTGGCCAGCGAACCAAAAGGTCGCCAATTCAATTCCCAGTCAAGGCACATGCCTGGGTTGTGGGCCAGGTCTCCAGTAGCGGGTGCACGAAAGGCAAGCACACACTGATGTTTCTCTCTACCTCTTCCTCCCTCCCTTCCCCCTCTCTAAAAATAAATAAATAAAATCTAAAACACAACAAATGTGCTACACAATAAACATTAAACAAAACTTAAAAAAATAATAAGAGCAATATTACAAAGGGTATGAGTAAAACGCTAAGTAGAGTAAAAAACATTTGTGCATTATTATAAATGTATTCTGCTTTTTAAAAGAAAAGATGGACAAGATTATAAAATCAGCAAAAATATAACTACAAGAAAACGTGAATAGAAAATGTAGTAGTATTAATAAATGTATCTCAAGCAATGAGAGTAGAAGGTATAAAAGGGGAAGCAGAAAACCAATAACATACATCAGTTTTTGTAAAAATCTAAATAAGAAAAGTAATCAAAATAAGATAAGGAGATTTAAAAAGATAATAGTATTTACAATTTTATATATACATTTGAAAATGCAAATGAAATAGATAACTTTATTGAAAAATTAGAATAATTATTATATGGAGATGTAGAAACACCAAAATGCGCCATTACCTTTAAGAAAACTAAAAATTAACAATAAATAGCTAATTTTTAAAAACATACATCATGTATCATGCTGAAAGCTTTTAATTAATTGTCTTATGTAATCCTCATATTGTATGGTAGGTTCAACAGTATCAGATGAAAAAATCAGATGAAAAAAAGTTAAGTGAACTTCCAAAGGCATATTAAATAACTGAATGGAATTCAAAACCAGACAAGTTGTCTCTTGGCTTTAGGCCAATAACTACTGCACCAAATCCTTTTTATCAAAGAATGATCTCTGAAGAGGGTTCTAATATCACATGCTTTTGCTGGTAGCTTCTTCAAACCTTCAGGGAAAGATGATTCCCCAGACTGAGTCCTACTGAGTCCTAATTTCAAAACACAAAGGCAGAGAGCCACTGGGTTCATTTTATGAAGCTCATGTGGTAAAAAATAATCTGACAATATGGCATAAAAAAATTAACTCTATGAACAGAGATATAAGCATTTCCAAATAAAATTCTAACAAATCTAATTCAGTTGGATAGTAAAATAATAATCTACAATGAGCAACTAGATTTTATGAGAATATAAAGATCGTTTAACACGACATCTATTAATGTATTATATCACATGATAATAGGTTTACGGGGAAAAGCTTTATGATAATTTCAATAGATGCTGGAAACAAGTTGTAGAAAATCCAGAACCTATTCCTCAATAAAAATTCTTAATAAGCTAGTTATACAATGATATATCTTAAACAATGAGGCGACATCATAGGTAAAAATAGTATAACAGTGAAAGCCTGCAGACAGGCCCATTAAAGTATAGATCGAGTCTAGGGTGGTGTTTATAATTCTTGGTGTTTACTGTGGTTCTGGCAGTTCTACCATATGCAGTCAAGCATGAACTGTTATTTGCAAATTATAATTGTCTCATTAGGAAACATAAGAAAATTTGGTGAAAAACTCTAAGAGGTAATAAGGGCTTTTAGTAAGATGGATGCCTATGAAATAAGTATATAAAAACTCCCAAAACAATAGCTTTCCTCCATATCGGTGAGAATATCAAGAAAAACCTGCCACCTCAATGGCAGTATGAAAGAAAACTGCTATGAAAACTTCACTGAGAGATCTAAAAGGAGATTTGAATAAATGGAGAGATATATCATACCATATTCTTGAATTAGAGGATTAATAAAAAGATGTGAATTCTCCTCAAAATATTGTCAGATTCTCATCAGAATTTTTATTTAATTGTTTTGATTGGAAATTGACTAAATAATTCTAGCTTGTCTAGGAGTATGGACAAGAATAGCTAAAAATATCATAAAGGCATACAATAAAAGATAACTTGTCCTATTAGGTTTTTTTAAATATGGCAAAATTATAGTATTTAGATCAGTGTGGTAGCTATATAAGAGTAAATCTTATATATACACATACTTCATATATGATAAAGGAAGCATCCTATATTGTTTTGAACAAATGGAAATAAATGCAATAAATAATGCTACACAATTAGCTGGGATTAGGGAAAAGGATTAAGCAGTCATTGACAACCCAAACCATATAACATTGATGTACTATGCTGTCAGAAAAAGAGGCAACCTATAAAACAAAACAAAAATATACCAGCAAACATTTAACTACTATTAACATGATGAACTTTCTGGCCTAAAAGCAATGGAGGAAAAAATGGAAATAAACAGATTTGAATATATACAAAAAACTCCAAACTCATTTGTAATATTTTTGGTATTCAGACCAAGAGAAAAAATCTAGCAAAATATTTGCAATAAACACAAGTGTCAGAATATTTAATACTTATATATTAAGTCAGTATTATTTATAAAAATCATTATCTACATTATAATTAACAATTATAATCATAATTATTACTTACAATAATTAGTAAGAAATACATGAAGGTTTTGATAGATAAATTGACAATGATTAAGAACATTCACACTTGGTGAAATTCAAATGATTACATTTATACAGGCTTGTTTTCATTAGAAATCAGAGACATAGAAATGAAAATATGACACTATTTAAAATACCAAATTAACAAGAATTTCTAGAAGATAATGTTCTTTAGAGGCAATGTAATAGAGAAGCTAAGAACGTTGGCTCTGCAGACCCCTGGACCTGCATTTAAATGATGACTCAGCAGGCAGATCACCGGCAAGTGACTGGACTTCCGGTGTCTGTTCCTGCATTTCTGAGAAAGGAAAGGACCGACAGACCTTTTCACATCTATCATGCAGATTAAATGAAATAACATATGTGATGCATTAGTAGAGTGTCTGATACACATTAGCTGCTCAACAAATGTTATAAATTATTAATATGTGGGTATGGATAAAAGGACCATCACAATATTTGGCTGACAAAAATATGAACTCATAAACCTTTCTGAAAAAGAATTAGGTAACCAGAACTTTATAACTATTTCTTTTGATCTGGCTATACAACATCCAATATCTATCTTAAGGAGGTACCTGAAATAGAAGCAAAGATTATACACAAAGATGTTTACTGCAGCACTGTTTAGGATTATGCAACACTGAAAACAGTCTACCTACCCAACATAGTTTAGGCAAATGATGGTATATCTATCAAGAAGTGCTATGCAACCATTAAAATGCCTGTAAAGTACACCTTTTAATAGCATAAGAAACTACTTATGATATATTATGTGAGAAAAGTAGCAATCAATATTATATGAGGTCTGTTCAGAAAAAGCCCAGCCACTGTTGATATAATGAGAACAGTGTGTGCATCGATGTAACCTGGCAGCCAAGGGGAGTAGAATGAAATGCGCATGCATGAACAATGATGACTTCACTGTACTAGTTGGTGGGGGCAGTAGACACCACTGAGTGAGCATGTGTACTGTGTGGCCATCGCATTCAAAATGATTGAGTGAGTAGAGTTGAGTGACGCAGTGAATCTGCATCAAATTTTACATTAAGTTTGAACTATGTGGATGATCCAGAAGTTCGTAGCTATGGGCAACTGTTGATTGTCTGCTTCATCATGACAATGCACCTGTTCATGCATCACGTGTCATGCAGAGTTTTTTGCAAAACATCAAATCACCCAGGTGACTCAGCCCCGCTACAGCCCAGATGTGGTACACTGTGACTTCTGGCTTTTCCCAAAATTAAAATAACCTTTGAGGGAAAGAGATTTCAGACCGTTGATGAGATTCAGGAGAATACAACGGGGCAACTGATGACGATTCTAACAAAGGATTTTGCAGTGTTTTGAACAGTGGAAGAGATGCTGGGAGAATTGTTTGTGGTCCTAAGGTGCCTACTTTGAAGGGCACTGAGGCATCACTGTCCTAGTACAATGTTTCTTGTATTTTGCATCATCAATAAATGCCTCGGTTTTTCATGTTACATGACTGGATACTTTCTGGACAGACCTTGTCTATATACTATGACCATATCTATCTCAAGAAGACAAAGTATGGAAAAACCCTAGAAGAAAAAATGTTGAAATATTTATTGTGAGTTCCTAGATCACAGTTCAAATATGGTTTGAGACTCATTTTTAATAGGTCCTAAAATCATTTCAGTGGATCTTGACTCACATTTATGATAATGAAATAGGATAGGATATAATGAATAGACTAGAGCAGAATAGAAAAAAAAAATCAATGTGCATAGGCTCTAAGGATAGGTATTGCCTGAAACGGAACTGTTATGGGAGAAACTCGTTTCTTCTTGCTGATGTAGTAAAAAATTATAGATCATCAAGTCTATTGGAGTGCAAGCAGGGTTTATTGGCAATGTGTTCTCATGGAAGGGAATGGGCCTTGCTAAGGTGGGGGAGAAAGGCAAGAGCAAGGGTGGCAAGAACAGGGGTGGCAAGAGCAAGGGAGGCCAGCTCCCAGCTGGCCAGAGACTGGGTGGCCAGAGGCCAAGAGAGTGAGTCCTTTGTTCTGAGGATTTATGTAGTCAGTGGGATGGGTTTGAAGAAGTTACACATTGATTGATGGGTAAAGGTAGTGCCAGCTTTCCTGGGGGTGGGGTGGTGAATACCCAGAGGTGTTTATGGGCTTCTTCCTTTGGCCCTTATGGGCCCTTTCCTGCCTTCCAGGCCTTGGGATGAAGGCACAATTTCAAAGGTTTTCTTTCCCAGATAGTGGAGATGATACACAGAATTTCAAGGGCTTCCCTCCTCCCATATTAGCATGGTGCTTCTTGCAATGTTGTAATACCTGTGGCAAGATTATCTGACCAGGCTCAGGACTGCTGAGTTAGTGGGGGAGACATGTCTCCCTCCTCTTCCCTGCCTTGGTTTGCTATCTATCCTGGCTAACAAAACTATTGTGTCAATGCAACGTTATATTTATATCTATGTGTTAGGTGGTGATTTAAATGTATTTTGTACTATAGGTCATGGTTAAAAGTACAAAAGTCTAAGTATAAGAGGGATAAGGGTTTATATTTTTCTTTATTGTTTACTTTTCTATAACTGCAAAATTTTCTATAATAACTAAGGATTATTTTGATATTTACTTTGTGTATAATTACATATGATTCAGAGTTCCCTTGCCAGCATCAACCTTGAGCAAAGTTATATTGCATCGGGAACGTTAGGTGATTACTGTCTAGGATGTATTTTTGGAATTCGATTTTAAAGGTAATTTCTTAGTCTTGGCCCTTTGTGCAAAAGGTGGTTTGTAACCAGCAAACATGGGATAGAGCAATGGGCAGCAGTCTCATGGTACAGGGTGACTATTGCTAACACAATGACTAATTTCCTTCTATAGCTTCTTTACATTTATCCCTTAGGGAAGAATGATTACTAATCACCAATTTTGTATGTCTTGAGAGACTGAAGTTAACAGGTCCAAATCCTAAAATTTCAAATAAAGCATTTATAATGGCTTCTGTTTGCAACTCACTACTTGATGGCTTTACATAGTTGTGGAGTGAGGGCTGTGGATCTAATGCTGTTGTGGAAAACCAGGGCACACACATGTTGTTATTGTTCTTCTTGTGACAGCTTTCTTGAGATACAACTCATACTATATAATTTAACCACTTAAAGCATAAATTCCATAGGTTTGAGGATAATCAGAGTTGTGTGACCATCACCTTGCCCAATCAATTGTAGAACACTTTCATCACCCCAAAAAGAAACCCCAAACCCTTTTACAATCACCCCCAATCCTTCTACCTTCTTTAGCCTCTGGTAAACACTAATCTACTTTCTATCTTTATAGATTTGCCTATTCTGAACATTTTATATAAATGGGCTCATATAATAGGCCCTTGTTCTTAATCCAATAATTTATGGAAGACTCAAGGATTTCATAGAGTTACGTAGATTATTGATTCAAAAAAACTTACATCTTTTGGTATTCTCATCCACCGACCAACCAACAATGGGTGAAAGTTACTGTATGTCAGCTCTCTGTTATCTATCCATTTAGTTATCCTTTCATACGCCGTCCAGCGCAAACCAATCCATAAATCGTCTTCCATATCCGGAAGCAAGGATATAATAAAATCTGTCAGAAAAAAATTTACAAAAAAAAAAATCTGACTTACCAAATTACAGATATACTAAATATGTCAATGAATACCTCTTGCTTATCTTACTACCAAGATCATCTTTCACCTACTGTGTAAAAAAAATAGCTTCTAAAACATGTTAATTCTTCTCAGCCTCCCAAAACTAACTTGGCCCCTCAGATCAGAATAAAATATGTTTCCAAAACAATTCTTTACCTTGTTCTCGCTGACTCAACACTGTAGGAAGGGTGCCACCATAGGTGTGACAAGTGTCACTTGCTTCAGAAAATGTGAGAGACTTGGGTTTCATAATTAGAAAACACTGCAAACAAAGAACATACAGGAAGCATAAGATTCTAGACATAGGAAATCTCACATAGGAAATAAATATCTCATCTTTTAGAGGGTTGCTAATTTTTGGCCTAGGAGATATGGAAATTTATAAAGTAGTGCCATAAAAATGTAGATCAACACTCTGAAGCCACTGAAGAGTGGTCTTTGAACTATTTTTTTAAATATCTCTCATTTATTGAGTACTTTCTCTGTGCTAAACAGTTTGTTTAGTATTATCTCATTTAACTCTCACAACTGGGAAAACTGAAGCACAGGAAAGTTAAGCAACTTTACCCATAAGTGAAATAGTCATAAAATGGTATGGTCAGCATTTAAATTATTACATCTGATTTCAAAGTCTGTGTTCTTAATCATCACCTTATATTAAAAAAAACCCTACATTAAAAAAATCATCTCTCTGTTCCTTGGCAGAGTATTTTAATGCAATTTACATTAACTGTTTTAACTTAGTCCTAGTACCTTCGGGGGGGGGGGAGATTTTCCTAATTTAAAAAAATCAAAATATGCCCCCAATATTTTAGCTTGACTACAATTGCCTTCAGCTGTCAGACAAATCTCTCCCTTTTTCTTTTTGATATTATGGTCATGTTAGTGTGGAGTGGTATGTTGCCAAATTGTGTTCTTTGAAATAGTCTACAAAATCTTCTTATTTCAGCTTTCATACAGAATGAAGTGGCCAATGAGATATAAGTCATTCAGTGGCTTCTAGAATACTCTATAGAGAAAACACCATGAATTTGAGCTTGGAAGCTTTATGTTAAGGATGGCAGAAAGGAAAGACAAAAGGACACTGGTTTTGAAGAATTCACAGAGTTTACATATCAAGCCCAGTCTATTTACCTTCAAACTTTTTTTATACATGAGAATAAATATTTTAACATACTGTAGAAATTTTTCTTTTTAGCATTCAAATACATTCAGTAGGACATACATATACCAATATTGATTATACATCTTGAAGAAGAAAATATACAGGGTCTGGCACAAATGACTTCCTTTTTTTATTATAAAATCTTTTATTACAAAATCATAAGCATGAATTCTCTAATGTAACAATATCACACTGAAACTCACCGTATGACATTTTAAGTGAAATTTAAACTTTAAATTATTATACCCACATTATTACCCTACCAACCACACTCAAGATGGCCTTACTTTTGCCGGACCCTGTAGAATGCAACATTTCCCAAACCTATTTAATCATAAATTCCACTTTGGAGGCAAGAACAATTATGAACATTTGGTTAGCATATGCATAGTTCCCAAAAAGTAGTTTGGGAAATGCTTGTCTTATTTGATTGGTAGATGGTGGTTGTATCTTCTCCTTAAGGGATAAAATTTATGAGCCAGAAATTAAGTCAGTTTCTTACTTGCCATAGAGATAGTCTTGACCTCCATGTATCACCATCCATCGACACATCAACTTCAACAATTTAAGTGCTTAGTAGCAAGAGAATAGGAACAGAGTATTTTGAAAGACCTGTGGGCATGACTAGCTTGAGAGTTAACTTGGTTTATGACAGTGTAGAAGATCAGATGAGATACTGAAATATGCGGAGTCTATCTTAGCGGAGTTATTGGATGAGCTGCCATTCTGTCACAAGCTATACAATCACCATGAAAGCAATCATCATTTGCACAATGTAGCAATTCTCTTATTACCTTATTCTGAAAAGTAAGCCAATTCCCAGAGCATTGTGTTTTAGCTGCAGAATCTGGACTATATCTCTCCAATGAAGATACATTATATTTTTCACAGATGAAGGGCAACTTGGTATTACAGTCTATTGGTCTATTTAAGTCTGAGAAATGAAAAGCAGGGTTACTATGGTGAGATTTTCCATTTGGTACACTTTAAAAATGATCCAGTCATAAACAAAATCTCTTTAAATCAATCTTTCCCAAATGTTTGAAATATATTCCTTTCCTTCTCTAGCCATTTATGTTTTCTAGTACTATTCACATCAGTAGGTTATAGTATACCAATATTGCCTATAAAAATGCACACATATGGTGTTACGACCACAGTTACCACACAGTTCCTGGTGGCAGGAAATGGAGTTCAAGAAAGCTAAAGAGGGGAAAAAGGACCTACACTATATTCTAGAACTGCTGCCTGTTTATCTTTTCAAATTTGTCTATATGCTTATTAGTTATGAAAGTGTTGAGTTTATTTCTAACTAATTACTTTAGGATAAAGGAAGTCAAAATAGTCACAGTGAAATGCATCTTTATTTGCATTTGGTATTTGAACTATTGTCATTAGCAATAAATCAGAATAAGATGAAGCTACCAGACACACACTCGAAAGGAAAACAAGATTAAACTAGTAATTGAACCTGAATTTCACATATGACATAATCAAAATGAAAGGATTTGGAATTAATGTTACCGTTAAGCCAGCTCCTGGCAGACATATAGGAACATTCTTCTCCAAACATCACAGGAAAGTGGCGATGCCACATGTGTCGTGAGCTGGGAGAAAATGAGAGATCTGACAACTCAGAATGTAGTTACATGTCCCACTCTGGTGTTTGCTGTAAGTCATTTTAATTCTAAAATTAATGTTATGCCATTGTTTTATACTACTTTATTCTATTAATATGCAAAAGGCCTTGTTTCTCATGTCTAGGCAGTTTATGGATTAATGTTCAAAACTAATTATAAATAATAATCCATTTAATAAAAGGGAATTTGGGACTGGTTCTTTTAAATAACTTTATAAATGATTACACATACTATTTAGAATGATGATCTATTATTGGCTGCTCAGTAGTTCTCACCCACCACTTCTGTTCATCACCAGATATCTGTAAAAACAAATCAGACATCCATCCTTACATGAACTGAGTTTTCTAGGAGAGTTTTGATTGAACCCCATCCCACCATAACCACAAACGACAAACATTTCAGGACATTATGTTACTTTTTTATCTAAATTACCCAAACCAGGTGCTTTTTACCAAAAGAGAGGTTTGAAAACTCTGTATAGTCACAGGCCCTATTTGGCCTACAGAAATATGGTCGCTGTAATTATGGGCATACATTCATTGGACATACAATGTCCTATTGCAACTGATTATAAATTTAAAGATGTACAACTTATTTTTCCTCCCAAATCTATTTTGTGAAGTTAGTTATTATTAGAAATAGAAAGGCAGGTTAACTATAAAGTTAACTTTTAGTAAAAAATGGTAAGGTGTTAGAATAATTTATACTATCTATTGATGCTCATTTAATAAATTGACAGTTATAATTAATCTTGAATATTTTAAAACATTCAGCAATTATATTTAACATTTCTAACAAGAAATGATGAATTTGCATGTTGTTAGGCAAATTTCACTCAAGAGGGATGTTTAACTTTTGTGGAATTCAACAAGACTTTTGAAATTTTTTTAATGGAATAAATATAAAAATAAGAAAAATATTCAAAAATATATTCTTTTGCATTACATTTGCTATTTTGTTTTTGATGGCTTTTAGTCCAACAAAAGATGTTAAAGTGGCCAGGGAGCTGTGATTGCTGGCACAGTACAGGACAGCTTCTTCATAGTTTAAGTGAGGATCAGCAACAAACCAATATTCACTCCCTTCTATTATAACAGAAGGTCCATGAATTCCAGCACGCTCTAAAGGAGAAGAGGAACAGAGTTATGACTGTGTAAACCAAGCTTCACCCTCCAAGCCTGGATTAATGTCCACAACTTTTATAAATTGCACTCCATTTAGATTACTGGTTCTCTCTGGCCAGGGAAATGCCTCTTGAAAGGAACCAAGGACTCCTGAGCCAGTGGTGACTCTGCCACCCAGAGCCACGGAGAAAGACAAACCCACTCTCATGGCCTCATTCCACCACAGCCAAACACCCTCCCTGTCTGGAGACACTTTATCTCACTTCAAGATGTGACAGACAAGAAAACAAACTAAATGTATTATTGAAAAAATAAAGGCAGCTTTGGCTAAATTCCAGTTTTCTTAACTCACCTGGATTGTACCAGTCTGGTGTTTTTGGAGTACGACCTGTATAAGGGAGAAAGTAAGTGGCTTACGGTTAGTGTCCAATTACAGATCACGGCATTCTTTAAGTAAGGGCCTTTAATCTAACTCAAGAGGACTTGCAGTACTGCTGAGGTCTGTCCACTTCTGGCCGAACCATTTCCTTTCATGTTATGATCATTTCAATTTGAATTTTGTGGGGCTTATCCTAAAGCTGTTCTCGCATCAAGAAAAAAGCAGATTTGTAAATATTAATACAGTATTACTAGCAGTTCTCTGTCTTATATCACGGAAGTCACAAAGGAAGACCAGATGGATAAATACAGCTAATAATTAGAAAGCACAATAAGTAAATGAATATTGCGTATACATTACACAGAAGCACTGAGGAATATGATCCAAATTCATCATTGTAGGGTTGAGGTTATTCAGGAACCACTTCTTCATCTAATGCAATTTGAGTAATTGTTCTGTAAACCTGGGTGGGTAGAGTTTATTGTCTCCCAGGCTATCCTGGGAAACGATGTACAATGATCCAGTACTGAACCTTTTGAAAAGGTGAAAGGCAAAACTGGGAGGAAAATAATAAAAATCACCCAGCCTTCCTGGATGGAAACAGAGAACTTTGTATGTTACAAAGAATTCTGGGATTTGAAGCTGGATGGGCCAATAATGTCCAAATGCCCTCAGACCTTTTGTTGTGGTACTTTGATTCAGTTGTTTTAACTCCTTGACCCTCAGCTGTCTACTCTATAGAAAGTGGGACTACTACCTAATGCACAGAGACTGTATAAAGATCAGGTAAAATCAGCCATCTGGAAGCACCACAGTGCCAGGCACAGGGCAGGCTCTTCTCTCTTTTCATTCTGCTTATAGGTCACATTGGTTTCAAGTCAAAGACACAATTTTATGAATCTTAGAAATTACAGGGTAAAATAGCTATTCTTAATTTTGTTGTTGTAGCCTAATACAAAAAGTTGCCTATATATGCAGGGTCTTTGGTTTCGCTCTCGGAGCCAGTTCTCTGTGTGTTAGATAATTTTTACCAATAATGCTGCCAACTAGTTTAAAATACACATAGTTTCTTGTTTGTAATCATGTGTTGGGGGATGCGATATCTAACCTTTACATTTCTTTAAGTTAGTGAGGAAAGCAGAATGCAAAGTAGTTTTTTCATACAAGATTACAAATATGTATATGTGGACAAGGTATCAAAAAATATAAAAATGTTAAATTTGGGTAGTGGTATTTAGGTAATTTTCCTAAAAACATTTCTATGACTCTTACTTTTGCTTTTGTTTTCTCAATTAAAAAAAGAATATATCTCCACACTGATTATGGCTACTTAAAAGTTTTAGGCTGTCCACGGACAACAGTATGGTGATTGCCAGAGAGAAAGGTGGGTGAAGGGAGGAAGAAGAAGGTAAAGAGGGGATAAATGGTGATGGAAGGAGACTTGACTTGGGGTGGTGAACACACAATACGATTTAGAGATGATGTACCCTAGAATCGTATTCCTGAAACCTATATAATTTTATTAACCAATGTCGCCCTGATAAATTCAATAACAATTTTTTTAGATTGCCAAAATCGCTCTTTTAGAGAAGAAGGGACAAATTAGAAGCGGCTGAACAGGTAATAAACAGGCAAGAGATAGAGAAAAGGTATGGTGATTTAGGCTACTTAAGAGGTGAGCTGCTTTAAGAAAACCCAATAATACAGATTAATATGGAAGTGTCAGAGCAAACTTTGGTTGTTCTAATATATAAATAAATTATATATAAAATATAAATTAAAATTTGCATATATCCCCCTCTAACCAGGTGAATGTGACACACTGTAAATTAGAAATTTAGAAACTGTCAAAGGGGAGTTACCATAACATTTAAACCTTGGATCACACAATCATTAATTGCTTCAAATGACTGGGAATGAGCTGAGGCAGGAAATTCTTCAGTTTTTAATTTTGTTTCTGTACAGGGAGAGCAGGGGTGCAATTATTTAGAAGATTTATTTGGTTAATTGGTTTATGTTTGTTACATTGGTCAATTTCCTTCTCTTTTGTCTAAAATAAAAAATATGTATAATAAAGAAAAAATACCCATATGCTCTTTGTAAATATTTCCTGTGGTTACTGGTTTGTCATTTCTAAGGCTGCCGTGGTGTAACTTGTGCGTTCGTGCCATCCCTCAGACAGGAGGCAGCCCCACTTTGCCAGAGAGGGCACGCTCCGGAGGGAGCAATGACACTTGGTGGCATGCTGGTAAACTGCCAGAGTGACGGGAGCATCACGGTTAATGCTTCGAACAAGAGACATCGTTCAAATCAATTACATGTATTATTTACTTCTCTACTTGCTTAAGGGTATCCAAACTGGTTCTCTTTCATTCTTCTTTCAGGTTGAATCAATAATCGGGTATAACTCAGGTACAATGTCTTCTTTGGGAAAACCCCATCAACACACACACACACTTCCCCGTTCCCTAATGGCCTGCCGGTTTGTCTTGGTGAAAGAGGCTTGACAGTTACTGTACCAAAAGTCATCTCTGCAGCTCTTCTAAAGGCAATAGGGTAGCCTTTTTTTTTTAAGGAAAAAGAACATTTTTCTTATAGGCAGTTTCATGATGTAATCTTTGGGTTCTTTGAGAACTTGTGGGAGGATATGCCTTTGGTTTCCATAAATCTGTATACATTCAATTCAGAAGTTCATCTTGGAACTTTCTGTACATTTACCACTAACAATTTCCTATATGTAGTACCTGCTTAAAATAGTTTGGGAGTTAAAATCTTAAGATTTTCCTTAACAGTCCTTGACATTTTCCTAGTTAAAAGCTAAATAAAGGGACATCTATTTATTCTCCTTCCTCTCTCTTTTATCGCCACTCTACTAATCAAACTATTTCCTGAATTTGAACTATATAAACTATTAGCAGCTTTTGAGGTCACTGAAAATTGTTTCTAAATTTTTCAAGAAAATGTTGAAATTTTATTTCCTGATTCTTGCTTCATTTTGTCCTTCATTTTGCATCAAAATAAAAATGATTTGCCCTGCCACATTGCTTCTTTTACTTAATCTTTCATTCTAGGATCTAATTATCCTAAACTAGTCTTAAATTGTATCTTCTATACATAATCTTTTATGATAAAAGTGGAAGGTACCATTGAATTTCAATAATCCAGCCTTCTGAGGGGTAGTAGTCAGGCAGGATGGAGCTTAATATATTAACTTCATCTGCAAAGGCTTTTTAAAATTATAGATTAAAATGTTCTCTTAGGTACTTATGGTTCAGCATTCACAATGTTCACATGAAAAGACTATGAAAAGAAATAACTACCACCTACCTTTTGGAATCTGACACACCCATTCAAGTTTCGTATCACAAGCAAAAGGCCTTAAATAAATAATTTCTCGGTCACTATAGAAATACCAGCTTCTTCGCCACAGCCTCTGTGTGACCTGAAGGAGGAAGAGGGCTGCAGATTATTTTGAGGTTGATTAAGCCCTTATAAAACACTAAACTGTTTTTTTAACTCTATTGTAGCTCCCATACCTAAGATATTTGTTTAATGAATGAACACATGAATGTATACATACAATGTTTAAAAAGTAACAGCCTGAGCAATAGGCTGATAAAGCAACATATAAGAGCATATTGATATTCAAATGCAAATTATTGTTTTTCTCTGTTTTGTTGATATGAAATTGTAAAATTTTGTGCTTTTAAATTTGGAGTAGATCAAGCTAGAAAAGAATATTTGGTTCAGTGGTTTCCAAACACCAGGCTCTGTTAAAGTAGATCTGTGAATAGTGACATAAATGTTTGGCATCAGGAGCACAGGCTCCTTCGTGTTGCTCTGCATTTCTAGGATGTTGCCATCTCCACACTAGGATGGTGCTCTTCAAATTCCAGCCAGCAAGCAAGGAGAAAGGAAAGGGGAGGCATGACCTGGGAGGAGCATCTATCCCTTTATGGGCTGTTTTTTCTTAAGGCCAAGATTCTCGTGGGTACCGTGGCAGGTGAGGTAAGATTCTCCTACAACACTGCCCTGGTTGGCCTTATTCCTGATGCAGATGGCATCAGTGTCTCTTTTTATTTAGTTTTTTTTGGTAGGTTTTTCAATCTTTTCACACATGAGGACTCTACTTACACAGAACATAGTCTATGGCATCAGTGTTGTGGAAACTTCACAAATTTCTCTGAAGTTTTCACCTTTTCATGTGTTATATGGGGAATTCTATAAAGATAGCATGGTACTATACAGTTTATTACTAGAACAGTTACTTTGAAAGTAGTGCTTTCCAGTGGCCTTCTCAGTTCTTTTTCTCAAACTTCCTGTAACATTTCTGGTCAGTTGCCTTCTTGAATCTCTTTCTTGGGCAAAGACATTACCTAGATGTCTCTTTTTTTTCCTCATCTTCTTCCATTTTATGTGTCGGTGATTCCCCCAAATCTACTTCTTGGCCCTTCGATCTTTCATTAATATACGTTTTCCCTTCAATTCCAGTCTCTTGATTTCTACTTCCTGTAGAATATTTCTTACTGCTTGCTTGGATTCAAAATACATAAACTAAAATGCACTATTTTCTCCATAAACCAGTTCTCCACAAACCCCTTCTGACTGTTTCTATAAATGCCTAGTTACACGGCACAGTGACCCCAGACATGTGGGTTTAAATTTTAGTTCTGTGACCACATAAGTTACTCAGCATTGAAATTTCTTCCTTGTAAGACAAATACATTAACAGTACCTACCTCACAAGGCTGCTTAAGCATTAAGGGACATACTCTACCTATGTGACATGCCTAACACTGTGATTAGCTCATGAGTCAGTAAGTGTTAACAGCTGCATTGCCACCCCCTTCGCCATCCTTATTCTCCCATAAAACTTATACTTTGCTCTTGCATAAAACGTGCTTTGCCTTCTATAACCTTGTCATTGTTTGTTTACTTGTGTTATCCCTAAATAGACTGTAAGTTCTGTGAAGACAATGACTCCTTTATACCTTATTGTAACTGTATTCCCAGAGCATCACAGGCTGTTTGCATTTATAACTTATGGAATGAATAAATGACTCAATTTTGCAAAGGAAGATGCCTCCTTTTTTTAATGTCTTTTGGTCCTACCTGTTGCATCTTGAAATCTGTCTCAAGATGAATCTTCTCTTACTGTCTTTGGTTCATGCCAAAAACCTTGGAAACTACTATGTTGCCTACCCAAAATGTACAAAACTCCTTAACCAGGCAACAATTGTATTTCCCAACTTTATTTTCAACAAACAACACCAATTAAAACTTCCTGATCTGTATTCTGTTCCCCTCACTCCTTAGCCTCTCCCTTCCACTCCTACTTTATTTTAGGCCCCTTCCTCATACCATGTCCCTATTAGAAAGCTTTAACCTACCCTTCCCGGCCAAATCCTATCCCTCCTTAAAGGTCCAACTCACAGCCTACCTCTTTCTGGAAATAGACCACAGGAATCATTTCTTCTCCTGAGTTTCATTAGCCCTCTTTAGCCCACTAATTTGGAGCTTATTACTGCATAGCAGTGAGTTTTCTTGAATATGAATTTTATCTTCTCAAATGAAGTGTAATTTAGTTTCTTGAGGGCTAGGTCATGAGTATACTTCTTACCTCCCATTACACCTAATTTCATGCTCCACACAAAAAAGGCACTCACTCCATGGGTCTGTTGCCTACCTGCGTATGGTGCCATATTTGTTTTTAAAATATGCAGATTTTCCAGCATTGTACTGACCTTGACAGCGGCACAGTCCCTGATATCATAATCCTGCTGAAACTCATTTTCCATGATAATAGTAGACACCTGAAAAGACAAGAGAGGTTTGAGAATTTAAGACTGATGTTAAATATTTGCAATTTAGATGTAATTTAGGCAGCTTTAATAACTCAAGTGTGTTCCTATGCCACGGAAGGAAAACTTTCCCGTCTCCTTTATTGTGTGAGGATGCTAAATCATGAGAGGACTTAGAAAATGTCATAATGTCATCAGTTTCCGAACAAAGGAAGATGGTTTTGGAAGTGGAGGTTGGTGGTGTATTATGTTCACAGTTGGAGTCACAGAATCAGGAGCTTGCAAAATATATTTTTTTTTAATATGTGTTGAAATGCTAATTATTTGATGAACTATTCTCAGATATGCTCCAATTTGAAAATGAAAGTCAAGGAATTTTACATTTAGAAAGAACACACAGTGAATTGACACAATGGTAATGTGGAGTGCATATTTAATATTTCAGAATTATCTGCATTTATAAGCGTTACCTAAAACCTCTCTTTAGGATAATATAAACATTTGATATAATATTGAAGGACTTTGTAGGGTTCCCACAAACAAATCATTCCCCCCAATAAAGGTGCTTTCTTTTTTACATAACTCATATTTTTAAATAACTAAAGTCAAAACTTCCCATTTTTTATAATAAAAAAATTAGAAAAAAAAATCAGTTTACTGCCCAAAGATAATCACTATATCTATGTACAATATATCTACATACACCTACATATATCTACATATGTCTATATATCTGTATATATCTGCATCTATATCTATTGGATTATAAAGAGAAAGCCTAAACCTATCTTTATGTTTTAAATAAAAATGAGGTTAGTAACTTGTTTTATCCATACTTCATCTTTGTGAATCTGTTTCCATTTCAATAAAGATGGTTCTGCAAAATTAATGTAATGGTTGTATAGCATGTGGATGTATTATTTAATAATCGACTTGTTATTGAAACAGATACTCTTTCAATATTACCCCAAACAAGAATGTTTAACCTTACTGGTGTATGATCGCTCCATTGCCAGGATCCTTGTAAGTCAGGGCTCCTTTTATTCAAACCTATCCACAGCCAACGCTCGCCACTATGTACAAAGGAAGAGGTAAGGAAAAAACTGAGCACAGCTTTTAGCAAAAATAATTAGCATTTACATGTCTACAATGCTTAGGACAAATAAGTTTATTCAGAAGACCTGTTACTAATTGAAAAGTATAGTTTCAAGCTATATAGAGTCTTCTGAAATGATGAACCCTACAGATACAGTATTTATGGAAAAGTGCCATAATTTTCAAAACTAAATTTTAAGTTATTTCCTTCACATAAAGGCAAAAACTATTCCACTTTGAATTTAAGAGGAAAAAAATGTCTATGATTATCTTAAAATTTTTACTGCAGAGCTTCAACATTAGACAATGTTGTTAGATACAGTTAAATATGACAATGGCATTTCTTTAAGGCATCTGTCTATAACACTGTCAAATATCTTCTCTTTAAAATGTAGAACAAACCATTTGGCTACATTTTTATTAAACAAGATGTTTTAAAATTATTTAATTCCCACAGCCCACTAAATTCAAAGTAAATAAGTATTTTTCTAAAAGCCAATGTATTTGTACAATAAAAAAAAAAGGCCAAACTCCATGGTCTATAGCAGAGCAATATAATTAAACTATCACTTAAGTGATTATATTTAACACTCGTAACTATTATACTTTTATGTACAAGGTATTGAGCTAGGTGCAGTGTTGTTACAGAGAAGTACAAGACCTAATATGTACTCTTAAATGGCATATAAACTAGTCAGGGAGGCAAGATATATGTGAACAAAGAAAATATAAGACTGTTTTTTGAAAGACATCAAATGATATAAAATTTTCACACATTTTAGGCACTACAGAAGTTCAGAGAGAGGCGAGGTCATTGCCACCTGCAGAAAACAATCTGTGAGGTTGGTTGGACAAAAGACAGTCGTCAGAGGACGGCTAACGTTCCTTCTGAGCCATAATCGAGTGTTTACCATGTGCCAGTGTTCTGATGGCTGAGAAGAGGAAGGATAGGATTTTCAAGGAAGAGTATTTACAACAATATATAGAGTCAGAGACATACATAGTAAGTGATTCCTTTTCCTCAATGACATTTATTGGCTCTAGCCAGGGAGATATTGCCAGTGTAAAAAGGAGAGATCTGACCATAAGAAAGTTTTCTCCACCTCCAGCCCAACTTGAAAATATTCTGTAAAATGTACTACACTTTCTAGGCCTCAATAAGTACCGCATTTTCCACATAAATTTTTTGTGATGCTCGTTTCTTTCCATACAATTTAACCTTCTGATTGCATAAGATATGTATGATCAGTACATATAAGTGTATGTTATATATAACATACCATATACGTAACACATATTAGAGAAGGGGTATGATCAAAATCTAAAATTAATCCTTACTCTCAAGCTCAGTAGAATATGTAGAATGTATGGAATGTACGCTACAAGAGCACTGGGAAATACAAGAAACCTGCACTTAAAAAATTTGTTAGTAAATCAAAGGCTAGAGCAAACTTAGTTTTAAATTTCTTACTTTTTAATAAAATAATTGCTTTTCTTTATTTCTTTACTCAACAGTCCCTTGTATTTTAATATCAATATGCACCTTTTCATCTTTTCAACTCCAAGCTTTTCAACTTCCTAAGATGGAACATCAGGACTGTTCCCTTTCAGTTGTATTGTTCCAAAGAGAAAGATCACCAATTTGTAGACTTAAGAAATTCCCAGTGGACACAATTAAGCCCAGTTTGAATTCAGCAGCCGTAAGAGGAATGTGCAGTTTGTGTCTGCAACTCATCAGAACTTTCTTAGAGGCTTCCATATTATCCTACCTCCTGATTGTTGGATATCTAAAACACAGGGTCAAGATAATTTCCATATATGGTATAATTAAACTTAGATAGCTAAAGTAATAGGGAAGTTCAGTTTTGGGCAATGTTTGCAGAATTTTGTGTTGCCCTAAAATAATCATTAGGTAGTTTATCTTCTTTACACAATCAACAATACAACTAGAAAGGGATTAAAGATCATTTGTCAAAGATGCTAGAGCTCTGTTCCCAACCTGTCCACCCAGTTATCTCTTGGCTCCACTTTTTCCCACTCAGAAACCTCTGCCTTCACGCCCATTTCTGCCTCCTCAGCAGCGCCGCGAGAGCAGTTTCCTAAGGAGCGGAGTTCGCCCTATTGTCCACGATTTCTAATCTTCACTATATTCTGAGATCAAACTTCCTTTTAACCCAGACATTTATTGTTTTCAGCTGCCATTTCAAGAGATACATTCATGTGTTATAAATATAGAAAATAGTAGCTACTTGTGTTTTTTTCTGTGTGATAAGAGGTGGAAAATATCCTCAATTATAGCTTATTTCTGGTTTGACCTGCTTTATCTGCAGGCAGATAAAAAGAAGAAATTGGAAATCGCATTAATCATTGCACACTATTAACGTGGATTTTAGAAACTTTGAGGAAGAAATGATCATAACTAGGGAATCAAATCAATTGAAATTTGATCTCTCTTTATAAATTTCTTCTACTCAGAGCACTAAGTACATGGTTTAAGGCCCTTTGGTTAAGAAGGCATTGCACAGAAAGTTACTATGTGTATTTGTGTTAACATTTCCACTCTCAATCAAATTTCATGCTGCATCTGAATCCTAAGGAAAATAGTATCTCAGCCCTAACCTCCAATAAATACTATGTGATGAGGATGCTTAGTTTGCAAAGCCCTAGGTTTATGTCTAAATCCATTCATGCCACATCACAGGAGGTGGTGCACATAGCAGCAATGGCATTGCAAACAAGGCTTTCTTCTCTAATCCTATGGCTATTTTTGCTCTTCAATGGCTTTCCCTGGTAGGTTGCTATAAAGAGTTGCAAAGATCTTAGAGTCTTAATAACTTGGTATACCATGAGTCCTTTTCTCTAAAATAAAAATAGGGGTGTGCAATGTAGACTGTGAGAAGTATAGCAGTAATCTGACTTCACTCCTTGGCATGCAATACAATTCAGGCAATGGGCATATTTCTGAGAAATGTCAATTCCTACAATAAAAAGCTATGGTGTTCAGAGAGTACGCTTTAGAATCATTTTTTCTGATATAAGTAGGTTTGCTTCCCTCCCTTCCTTCAAGCCATGGTCACGATGTTGCTTTTAGAACATGCTGCCTTTCTAAGTATAGCATTGGCAAATGATATTTTTATTAATGGAATGCATAAGCAGACAACACAGTCTGCTTAATATGGCATTGTGTTAGCTGCTGGGATAAAAGGGCAATAAAATATAGTTTCTATGAGTGAAAAGATTATGGTGATATGTTTTCTTGTGCTTTTTCTGTTTTCTAAATTCAATATGCATTATTTCTGTGATCAGAAAGAATTAAACATTGTACATCCTGTATTACACTAAATGTTAACTGTTTATAAATGGGAGCTGGTAATTTTTATTACCATTTTTAACCTACTACCAAGGTTGTGGGGAGTAGCTAAGAAACACTCATCTCAAAAAGAAACTAAGAGTTAGTATATGCAAATAAACTTAGGTTGGTCTGCAATGAAATTCTGTACATTAATTTCTAATGCTAGAAAATATATTCTAGAACACCTGAAATTCTATAATAGATGCTTAATAAATGAATGAAACACAGGTATTTTTTTTTACATCAGGTTCCTAGCACATTGTCGTTAAACTTTCTTTAATGAGGAAAACACAATAGTGGGTATGTTAACACATATCTAGAAAAAGTTCAAACAGTTAGAAAATCACTCAAAATTTTATCTCCCAGAGGCAACAATGATTTTTTCTGATGCATTTTTGCAGTCTACACTTTAATGTAAATAGTATTTTTTTACACTTTTATAATTTGCTTTTCCCACCTCTAAATATATTATAAATATTTACATGTTATAATACTATTTTTAAAAAATCTTAGGGTACAGGGAATAATCCCCCAAAACGATCAACAATAGTAATGATAATAGAGGTCTTTAGCTTTTTATCACTTGCATGGAAATGCATTTAATGTCTAATCATTAAGTATAATATGGCTATTGGTTGAGCTGCTCTTCTATTCTTAATAATAATCTATATAATAATTACGTCAACTAAATATGTTAAGTGTATGATATATTTATATATTAAGCCAGAAATCAATAGTGAATTCTACCAGATGCATTTTCAGAGCCTATTAAGATGATCATAGGATATTTGCCTTAATATATAGACCCAACCTTACATTCTTGAGAGAAATCCTAAATTGTCAAGGTGTGTTATACCGAGGTATTATAACATAGTGAGTCAAGAATGTGGGCTCTAATGGAGTCAACTATTAGATCCTTCCCCTATAGCTATATAACCTGGGACAAGGTTTACTTCTCTATGTTTCTGTCTTCTCTTTTAAATGTAATGGGCATAGTAACAGTACCTGCCTCATAGGTTGTTATAAGGATTAAATGAGCTAATAGAAAGAAAACACTTAGGACATTATCTGGCAAATAATAAGCATTATACAAGTGTTTGTTATTATATAAGCTGTTAGTACTTACATTTTTAAGTCTAGTCATGAGGCTGGTCTGTAATTCTTTGTGCTATTGTTGACAGAGTTTGATATCAGAATTAGATCAATTTGTGAAAAAAAAACTGGATGCTTGTATCAGTTTCTTTGTAATGGAATATAAGCTCTTGCTTTTACTATTGAAAAACTGTACATGGTAATGATCTCTTTTGCAAAATGTGAAGGAATTCATGTACAGAACTACGGAGTTCCCATTTGTCTCTTGAAAGGTATCCTTTGTCAACTTTTTCAATTTCTTTCATGGCTATTGGATTATTGGGTTTCTATTTATCAAATCATGGGAATTGACTGTGGGAGTGGGAGAGATGGGCAGAGGAGGGCAAAGGGGGAAAACTGGGACTAAGAAAATAAAAAAATCTCAAAAAAGTTTTTTTAAAAAGGTAGAAAAGAATTTGTGTTTCTCTAGATAGTGTTCATTGAATAATTGTATGTATAATAGTATAAGATTACACATAGCATTCTCACCAGTTAAACATTTTCGTTATGAAATGGATTTTATACTCTACTCAGGATTCACTTTAACTATGTTTTCTTTTTTATTTTCATGGTTTAATCATCAAGAGATTTTTTTTTCCCCTCTACATTCTAGTCTCAGTACCTTTGCCTATATTCTGTTTTCTCTGGTTCCTTTTCCTATCCTAACTTTCAAAATATTACCTTATCTTCCAAGAACATCTTTCTTCATAACATTTTTCCCAATTAAGAAATCCTCCCAGAAATCCTTTCTCCCTCCTCTGAATTCCCATCACCGCCCTCCCCCCCTTACCTATGTGCTAGATGATCCACTGTAATTCTCTTATCCCCACGTTTGGACTTTACTCTGCTGTGAAAAGGGTGGGGCCTCTGTCTCTCTCATCTTTGAATCCCTCATAGTATCTTACACACAAAAAAGCTTGATGTTCAACGATGCTAAGTACTGAATGACCCATTTTAGATAATAAAACACGTCAATTCTGAATATCTAGCAGACATCCAATTTAGCACAGAAAATCTCATTCTAAACCTATTACCTGAACTGGTCCATTAAAAAGTGAAGAAATTCCTTTATTTCATTCTCATGATGGAAGCTAGGAAGGTGTCCTCCAAGCGCTTGACAGAATCTCTCAGCTTCTTCCCAGTTCCTTTTTCTTACAATTCTTTCTATATGAAATATCTTAACAAAACATAGTATTAATTTGTTTTCTGGTATAATCATAAAATATTCATAATTTAAAAATCAATTGCAGAAAAATGTAATGGGCCCCTGAAATGGGTTCTTACAGGCATAATGAAGATGTGGGTAAATGCACATATACTGTCACAGACTGAAAGTGTCACTAAAGGCCAGCGCAGGTGCTAGCCACTGTTGTCAGAGGGATGATCTTCCTCAGGCTAGAGAACTGCTCCAGTAAGACACAATGCTCTCCTGCATTTCTAGGACCCAGAGAGATCAACTGAACCAGCAGATGAGGTTTGTAAAGGATGCTTATGAATGACCTCAGAGGAGACTTCTGCAGAGAAATGTGCTAACAATATAATTCTGAACATAATACACTGAAATCTGCACATGTAAGTACAGAACTGCTTTCTGATATAGAAGAATCAAAGGGCAGGCTGCACTGATGTGCAAAAACTGACAGAGGGTGGCAAAACAAAATGTGCCACTTAGGACTGTTTCTTTGGCTTGCGATGACTAATTTTATGCCAAAAGAACAATAATCACTGCAAAATAAGAAGAGGAGGAGCACATGACACATTGGTAGACTGAATTATTGGCCCTGATTTTTCAGTTCCCTGTGATATTACATATATATATATATTCTTGCTACGGCCTTTCCAGTGAGTGAAGTACACTTCTCCGTATAAAATAGTCTTGGGGCTCCACCATGGGACTTGCTGTGATCAATGGGATATCAATGGAGGTAAAGTGACTGGAGGCCTGAAATGGGCTTACACACCAGGGCTTGCCTCTCAGGCCCCACTGGTTGACTGTGAGAAGAACAAGCCCCGGAGAACTGCTGCCCACTCAGCCTGAGACCCAAACTGAAGGATAGCCTGGAGCCTGGCACAGTGAACCCACTGTTAATAGCAGAGCTAACCATTCCAGCCCAAGGTCTGCCCATCAAACTGTATGTGATCTGGAGATCTGTGAACCTGAGGTTAAATATTTTTTGTCATAGCCCCTGAATTTTGGGGTGTTACGTAATGATTTCCTTGTGGAAACAGTTAACTGACACAAACCCTAAAATAATCTTTTTTTACATTGTAAGAAGTGATAGACCTCTTCATGTGATAACAAGAATTAGAGGGATATAAGAATCATAAGCAAAGTTTCAGCATGGCATGAAGCTCACCCACTTCCCAGGATGAAAGAGCCCTAGGAAAGACCCAGTTCTGCCCCTGGCCCTGCTCTTTTGGGTAAGGCATGAGGTGATGTGGGAAGAGCTGTCTGATACCAGAGATGCAATGCTGCCCTCCTTGACAAGAACTCTGTGCTCCCAGCCACTCTGGTAGGTTACATACATGTCTTGGGAGGAGTATAATTTGCACAAGGACATGGAGTTGGGTCGTAGATAAATAACTTTATTGAGGGATCAAGTGAGAATGTTACATTACCTTATAGCAAGAAAGACCCGTGGGGAAACTATGCCAGCCTTCGGGACAGGGGTCTTCAGGCTTGGGGGTGGCTTCTTCAGGCTCTGCAGGCCCACTGGTTTTCTTGCAAATTGAAAGTGCTCTGAAAGTTTTGCAGTCTTTTACCTGCCACTTTCCAAGGGGCTCTTCAGTAGTCATAGCTACACACCCGCCTCGAGAAGCTGGGGTTAAGTGGGAAAGTTTAATTAAAAAGTACACTTTCAAATTTAAAGTCCACACCATTTCCAGTGCCTCTACTCTTTATGTGAGCCAAGGTGGAGAGAGAGAATAGGAAAGAAATGTGTTATTCATGATAATAATGATGACGTGATGGTGGCAATGGTAATAGAGAGGAGTGTTTGCTACTTGCCAGATGCTATTCTAGGTGGAGTCAATGGATTGAATCCTCACAGAAAAACCTACAGAGTGGATTCTGTTGTCATACTGGGTACAGTGAAGATTAGTGACTTGTCTAAGGTCACGTGTTAGTAAGTGGTTGCTCTAGGACTGGAATCAGATGGTCTGTGTGCAGAGCTGTACCCTAAACCACTATGCTACTCAGGAAAGCCTCAGTGGTTCATATTAGCTTTGAACCACTTCGAACAGGTTTTTTTTTTAAAGCTTCACTTGAGGACATGCTTATTGATTTTAGAGAGAGAGAAAGGGAAGGGGAGGGAGAGGGAGGGAAACATCTATATGAGAGAGAAACATCGACTCATATGCGTCCTGACCAGGGACCAAACTCGCAACTTAGGCATGTGCCCTGACTGGGAATGGAACCCGTGACTTTTCAGTTTTATGGACTGATGCTCCAATCAACTGAGCCACACTGGCCAGGGCCACTTTGAACAGTTTTTAAGCAACTTTGTGTACCTCAAAACAAAACTCATACAGATTCAGAGCCAAAGGAAGGGCTGGTATATAATAAAGGTAGGAGAGGTATATGTGTCTACTATTAATTTTATGGCCGCCAGAATTTTATTTATTTACAAAAACATTAAAAGGCAGTTTGTATTATCAGATACATCTGGTAAGAATAAGTGACTTGCCCGCAGTCACAGTTAGTGAGTGGGGGAGTCAGGACTCAAACCCAGAGTTGTCTGGGGAAGTGCCATGCTTCCGTTCCATTACACCTCACTGCATGAAGTGGGCAAGAGACAAGAACGTACATCCGACACAATGAGGACAACTTCTGTTCCACCAAACAGAAGCCACATGGGCTCATGTCTCACACTTACACATGGACAGCAAGAGGGACAAGGACCTGGGGAGAATAATGCTGTGTTACCCTGGATGAAAGAGCTACTTTTCTCCGGTTCTACCTCCTACCCATGGCTTGCCCATGACAGACAAAGCTGGCTGGAGCTGGGCGTAATAATGGTAAAAAGAGCTTCATGTCAGGCTTTCTGGCTCCGGGAATGACAGAATAGATATTGTGGTTATGTCCTGAGCACCTCTCCAAACACTGAGGCTTATCTATAAAGAATGTGACACTGGTTCTAAGACATCTGAGTGTCTATAAAAGAAATCACATGTGTTTTACATATTACAAAATTTTAATTTAAGATGAGATTTCACCAGGATTAACATCTGTATCCTCCATTTTATATAAGTAAAAAGATGACTTTGTTATCAATGCCGCTCACATTTATGATGATGACCATGTGTTATAAATTTTGTGGGCATTCTCTATTTCAAATATTGTATTTAAAGATATACTCACATGTTTTAATTTCTGTGTTATGAAAATTGGTCTTCATAATCACATTATACAGATAAAAGAAAATGTTAATAATTCAAAGGGAAAAAAGTTGGATCCTTTATAATTGCTGCTTTATACAAAGCCAAAATTCTCTAAAAACATTGAATTAGAAATCAGGAGATCTGGATTAGAGCCATTGAATAACCAGGTAACTTCTGTCAAGTAAATTACTTTTCTAAGCCTCTGTTTTCTCAAATCTGAAAACAGAAGGGACTTCTGAGGTCCTCTGAATTACATGTTCTGCTTCTAAGTCTAATTACAGTCAATGCTTTAGGCTAGTTAAAGGAGGATGAACTAACTTTCAGAATAAATAACACCTACACTATATTGCCTACTTAATCCTTGCCCATTGAGGATAATAGAAGTAAACACATTTAATTTTGAGAAAGAAATTAAGAAGCAGAGAGATGAAAATACAATGCGCTTCACAATGAAGCTTCTAGATTCTGCTTGAGACTTATATGGAACAGAATAAACAATTTGCACTGACGGCTCTAGCTCTATGCCATTAGAAGGTGGTTTCTGAAAACTGAGTTTTCTAGCTCCTTTCATTGGGCTATTATTCCCAAATAATAAGGAAGACATAGTCCCTGCTTCTGTTTATGGTCCCAAGATTCTAGTCTCGAAGACTGTAATTTCCCTCACATTTCAAAAGTAAGTAAAGAACACATTTGGGAGGGAGGCTGCATTTCACAAGTCACTGTAATCTATTACCCTAAAGGCTAAGACACTCACCTGGCTCAAGAAAACGCCAGTTGGAAAAGGTTACAGACCGCTTTACTCCACCAACACTTGCCCAACTATACTCTCCTTGTGAATCCACATCTCTCAGGCCAGTCCAGAAGTATTTTCCTGGAGATTTAGTATACTTTCTAATCATATCATTCAGGTATTCTTGCTCAAATCTACAAAACAAGAATCAAGTTAGTAGGTATTTTTACAATGACTGAATTACTATATATATATATATAGTAATTTTCTTAGGAAGGTTATTTAGCAGAGGAGGCCAGAGTTAAAGTTCACCGGTACATGTTTACGGATGGTCATACCTGCTAGTTATAGTCAGATTACAGTGGGTTCCGAAAGGGACCTCATCCTTGTAAATCTTGTAACAGTTTTCTCCATGTCTCTGCCAGCCCTAAATCAAAGCAGAAATACTGTCACACTGCCTTCCAGATCTGATGATGCCCCCCTCTGACAATCGAGGTTCTGCTAACACCTCACAATTATGGAAATTAAGGATGTGGCCCATAAATTCTTACACATGATAAGGGCGGGGTACAATTTCCTAGATAACCTCCACAAAGACTGTGAGCCTGTGCCAGACGGAGGGTGTCTTAGTTCTCTTTAGCTTCAGTGCCTACCTCATCCTAAGAGTATAATGTTGGTTGAATTATTTTTGAACAGGAATAATATAAGTAAAGGAAGTAAAGATATCAGCATTGAGGAGAGTAATCATATATGTTTTTATAGAAATTAACAAATAGGGAATGCTTTTTCCTGTAACTGTGTTTTCTTCTGTAAGAACATTGATATGCTATGATTCACGGTACTCTGGCTTGCTTTAATGTAAATGAACAGAAGCTAGTAGTTCTTCTATTTTCCAGGTCTGAATTGCTGAAGTCTCAATTGCCATCCTTTACCAAGAAGGTATAATACTACTCAGAAAAATGTATGCAGGAGTTTTACATACCTCATCTGGAGGACACATCTTATCAGATCTTGCATCACTTATATTTTCTCCCTTTTTCTTACATACGTATTTAAGTTTCTCTTCACATGATTGGACTTTCCACTGACCTAGCTTTTGAAAAATAGAAAAAAATTTCCACAAGAGATATCATTTCCCGTATATTTAGAATTGAACTCTTACTTGTTTTAAGTCAGGATAGTTTATTCTCAGAAAACTATAGGGGACCGGGGAAGAGGAGTAGAAAGAGAGGGATAGGGAGAGAATGAATGTAAGTGAATGATGAAACCTAAGGACATACTCCTAGAAAGTGCTACCCAACCAGGCTGCTTTATTTCAGAATTACCTCAAGGTAAAAAGGTGGATGAATTTCGTTTTCTTATAAGCGCCAAAATAAAACCATCAAAGGATAGAAGTTGGAGAGAGAAGGACTCAGCCTGCAGATAGCTACCCATATTCTAGTCTTCTTCCACATGCCATGGCCAAAATTGGCCCCATGGGTTTAAAACCTTTGAGCAGGTCAACTAACGTCCCTGTCTGTTTCCTCACATGTAAAATGACGATGGTTAGGACAGCTACACTCCAAGAATTCTAGAACTAAAAATTTCTTAAAACTCTACCGCAGCTTCAACTTAAAAGTTCTCTCTTCCAAATATATTACTTACACGTATTTTGCTTAATTGAATAATCCATTTTGCTTTCTTCCGATTAAATTTTAGTAAGTCAATTGTGATTAGGTTTCTGAGAACTGAGTTTTCTAGCTGGGCACTGGAATGCTGCCTAGGTATGCTACCAGTTCACTCTAGCCTATGAGGAGCCATTTCTACTTCTGACACTCTTCTAAAGACATCTTAGATATCCTTTCAAATAGTACACCGAATGTGACAATCTTCTAAATTAATCTTTGACAACTTTCTAAATACATCTTTACCCTTGAAACACTTCTAAATACACATACCATTGATCGCTTCCACTTAACTCTCTCTAGAAGTTTGGATGACATAATAGCATCCTAAATAATCAAGAGTCCACAGGAAAGTGATACAAACAAAATACAGAGGTACATACGTCCTTTCTGCTCAAGACATAGCTTATTTTAAACTCTAAACTAAAGCATGTTCAATAAATGTTTGAGCATTTTATAGGAGTAAGATGTTCTCTGAACACGCTAGACCTAAATTTTAATAAAAATATTTTATTTCTTAAAGTGGGATTGATGTGAAGCTTGATCTGAATGTGAATTCAGATGATGAGATTTTTCAGAATGACTCATGTTAAATATCACACTGAGGAGAGAAAGCATCTTATTAGATCGAATCTGGCACAAGAATCTGAGTTTCAAAAGGATCCTTTTGATCTGTTTCAGATCAGAGCAGATAACTAACGCTTAGACAGAAAGTGAATTGCTTATTTAGTCATTGTTTTATTTACCTTTTTTCAGTAGCTACCAGAAAGAGAATCTACAAGGTTCTTGCCTTTTATTTTCTTTTTAGCTTATATACAAACATACTCACCAAATATTGCATTATTATTAGAATATAAATAAACTCCAGGAGGTTTCTTACCTCTCCTAAATAGGAAACACAGTTGGGAGTCTTATTGTAGGGAACATTTGGCTCATTCTTATCCCAATATGTTAGAGTAACTTCAGTACCGTCTGACCACTGAAAAAAAGCTGGTGTATTTATGTTCCTAAGACCTGTCCATGTTTCTTCTTTGGTATCTAAAAGAAAAATGTTTTACTTGTTTGATTTTACTCAATTAATACAATACACATTTCAACGTGTATATTGTTATTGACTTTTATATTTTGATTTCAGGTTTTAAGAACCTTGATGGTATTCTTTTTTTTTTTTCTTTTAAGGTTTTAATTCAGAAGATGGTATTCTTTTTTTTATTTTTTTTAATTTAAGTATAGGTGGTATACAATCTTATATCAGTTATATTAGTTTCAGTTGTACGATATAATGATTTGACTTTTAAAAAAAAGATTTTATTTATTTTTAGAGAGTGGGGAAAGGATAAAGAGAGGGAGAAACATGTGCGAGAGAAACAGCAATAAGTTGCGTCTCTCATGCCCCCAAGTTGGGACCTGGCCTGCAACTCAGGCATGTGCCCTGACTGGGAATCAAACCAGCAAACTATCAGTTCACAGGTTGACGCTCAATCCATTGAGCTACACCAGCCAGGGCTGATTCGACATTTTTATACCTTACAATGAGATCACCCCACTAAGTCTAGTAATCATCTGTCACCGTGTAAAATTATCACAATATTATTGACTATATTCCCCTTCCTCTTTTTACTCATTCCCCCACTCCCTCCCTCTGGTAACCATCCCTTTGGAATTCTTAATTAACCTGTTAAAATGCTAATGAGTTAGGCAGGCTGAGTAATGAGGGCTTTTCAGATCCCTCATGCAGGTAGAGCACACAGGTGGAACAGCTGTACTCTGACCTGTATGTAGGCTGAGTGTTTCCGATATCTGGGTTACACAATTCTTGTTTTATGAGGAATCATAAAATTATACAGATACACTCACAGATACTCTAATTAGAATAAGAATATTGTTCCTCACTACTCTGGAATGAATATGAGCATGTGCTACTTCCCCAGGTAAAATAATTGACACCATGCTGACAACAGAATAGGTATCTACTATTAGCTATTATTATTAGGGAATCCTATGAGGAGGTTATAATACTGGCAGTGCAATATATCTTTGTTCTTCAGTCTTTAGCTTTCAAATAATTACAAAAGTAAAATAATCATCACTTAAGTGTTTGGAGAACTTAAATAGAATTTGGCTTATGAGAAGAGAAAAATTATTCAATCACCTAGCTACCAATGTAGCTATTTAAATTTGTATGTTAATTAAAATTCAATAAAAGTAAAAATTCCATTCCTCAGTTGCCCTAGCTACATTTCAAGCGCTCCAAAGCCACAGGCGGCAGATGGCTACCATACTGGATGGCAGGGATTATGGGACAGTTCTATGATCGCAGGAAATTCTATTGGACGGTGCTGATCTACAAGGATCAAGTGTAAGCTTTTCATCCCCGCTAAGTCTGAAAAGAGCAAAACTTTAATAAAATGTTTTAAACCTCTCAAATGGGATATTTTAAGAACCTACCTCCATTATGGAGTTTTGTCACAACCACTTCCACATCTGCTAAAGAATGAATGCTGATGAGGTCACTGCCGAAGGCTTTGCATTTCGTATGGGCTGTGTCCCAGGAATCGCTTTCATTCACCAGCAAATAGCAAAATCCATTATTTGGCAGCCAGTCTGCATCACACCGGGTATCTGAATATGTCCAAATATCTAGGAGAAAAGCAGTTATTTATATTCCAGTAAAGATACATCTATTTTGAACCAATTAACATTATAAATTCTTCTTTCTTGAATCATGAGGCTTCTGGAAAACTGGGAAATATGACATCAGATAGGACAGTGACATGAATTTAAAGAGTGCCCAATGTCTACAGAGTATCCTAAGAGGGACTGCAGAGACTCAGGGAATGATATGACTTTAATGTGATGCAAATGTGCTCCCTGGCAGGAGAAAGGCGTGGGGTGAGCCTGTTGTTCACCGATCTCTGCCTTGGCATGGGACTTGGTAGGTTCCCCTCCAGTCTAGGCCTCTGAGAGAATATGAGTCAAGCCTCCTTTTCACTAAGTAGAGTCAGCTTAGCAGGAGATGTGCATTAATGCTCACTGTTCAAATTAATGCTCCTTTTGTTCAAAAAGACGGGCAGAGATTTAAACACTCCCCACCAGGAAGGGGTGGCAGTGGAGAGAAAGGGCAGAGGGAATCTCTAGACCTCCTCTTTCCTCCCCTCTGCCAGACCTCCAGTCCTAATGCAATTACTGATCCTTCATTTGGACCATGATAAAACTCACCCAAATGATGGTTAAAAAGATTTGAGAAAAAAAGGGAGGCACAAAACTATACAACATACAATACATCTACCTCTTTCAACAGAACTAGAAAGCAGTTTGGTTACTCAGACTTCCTGGATTCAGAACAGTTTGGAATGTGGACAGTTTGATTTTTCTAAAGAATAAAATTCAGGTTCAGGTGGCTCCTCACACTTGCAAAATAACTCAGTTAACTGTGAGGTTCTGAAACAGCACTTATTACTATGTTTCATGATTATGGTAAAGAAACAGAGGGAAAAAAATCACCCAGAATTGAACTTAAAACAATCATTTTTCCTATTCCAGTCTTTGTCTCTTCAAATTCATATTTTTAGAAGATCAAAATGATAAGCAGGCATATCATTTTGTTCTGCTCTTTTTATTTTCCTGCTGGCAGAGCTATGTTAATAAATGCACATTATTCAATCATGTGGAAACATCATGATATAGTTAATAATTACTGCTACAGGATGCTTATTTGATCTATCATTAGCTCCTCTGGTTTATTTTCATTTGTGCTGTCTTTTCTATTATGTCCTTTGTTATATAAACTAAATTTGGTATGAATCAACTTGGAAGATAAATGTTCATTTTCTCCAATTATTTTTAAACATCTCCCTATATTCTTGATTCTATATACTTATTTTTTAATTTTAAAAAGACAGCTTCATGCACCTATGTGGATAAGAAAACTTATGCTTTATGCCCTTCCCCCAAGATCCCTTAAAGCACATTTTAAAATCTCCTTTTTTCCTCCCATTTTTGGGCGTTAGTTTTTCTTATTCAGGATTTAATCGAACTCCGGGGATGCGGCGGGCACTGTGCAAGATAGTAAGGGCACTCCGCTTCTCCGTTCTGTCAAAGACTCCTCAAACTCCCTGCTCCTCAGAATGTTTAGCTGCCCTGTGTCCCTCTTACCCCCACAACCCCTGGAGGAAAACAAAACCCTCCTCGTATGCATTTCATCCTCTTGTACCTCTTCTTTTCTTCCCAGCTTTTGAATACAGTTTGGCGAAGGCGGAGGAGGGGCTGGGTGCTACGGGGAGGAGGTGGGAAAGCCTGGGAGTATTCTGGCATCTGTCCTTTTTGGCTTCCCACAGAGGCAGGCAGTGATACGTAAGACATGAGTGTTCATCAGCCTCACTGGGAAGCTTCATGAGACACAGACTGCTGGGACCCTGAGACTTTCTGATTCAGGAAATCAGGGCTAGGTCCTGAGAATATGCATTTCTAACCAGTACGGGCGCTGCTGATGCTCTCAACCTGGGGACCACACTTTGAGAACCTTTGTTGCAGAGGAAAGAGAGCCACCTGTGAACAGCAATATATTCCTTATCTAGACTATCTTGTTTTCTTATGGGGATATGCCAAACCAAAGCTTTATTCATATATAGTTGCTAAATCTAACCACAGGGCCAAAATCAATATTTTTCAGCACAGGCAGTACCAGATAAAAGAACATTAGAAACAGCTGCCTGAAATAGATTTACTTAACTTCACAAAACTGTAATTTTAAGACCTATTTGTACAAGTAAATGAGAACGATACCTGTTAACTCCACTGTGTTATTTAATGACTTCTTGCAGACGTAGGGCAACTGATCTTTGCAGGAAAACCTCTTCCACAGACCAGACGTGGCGTCCATGACTGCACAGCTTGACCCACCTATTATAGGTGCACTGGGCATATCTTAAATGATAAAATTGTCATATAGTTTAAAGGAGAAGATTAGAGGCAGAGTGATGGTTAGAAAAAAATAATTTGTATTTCTAACTTTCTGCTTTTATGGGAAATCATAAAATAGTTAAAACCTTGTACTAAGTTGAAATGTATAAGCCTCAGTGGACAATCATGTGCTTGAATATGTCTGTCTTCTAAAATATAGAATATAGGGGGAAACACTTGGATATAATGTAGCTAACTTAAAAACCAAAACCGAGAACCAAACCTTTGCCCCCAATCAACTTCCATGCCATGTCTTGTGGTCAGTAGCTCTTCATCGGCTCCTCTGTACAATAAATATACTAATTTATGAATCTGTAATGCCTTTAAGGCCTTAAATGACTAATAATTAAATTTCATTAAAGTAAAACGACCTATAGGTATTTTATTGTCCTTAATTTGTTTTTCTCATATACGTGAAGAATACTTTTATACTGCAGTTAAGTGTTAACTTTTAGGTTTTACATTTGTCAGAAGCCTAATATTTCATTTCTTAAAAAGGTGTCTAGGTATCATTCATTTGGCGGGGAGGGGAATCTTTTGGCTAACTAGAGTTGTATTTATTTTTTAATTATAAATTTTTCTTTGGGATAATTATTTGTGTAATAAAATGCAACCATTATGTTGTCAGTGAATGAGTACTACAAAGAAAGACCCCTACAGTTTTAAAATGAGGGAATACTTCCATGTTAGAGTTCAGCTGCAGATGAAACACAACATGGGTCAGTCATAGGCACATCAAGTCCCCTAAGGGACACAGAATGGCTCCTGAGGCCATGTGATGGTGTCCATTCTGCTCTTAAAAGTATAGGGTTGCTCTAAAGGTTAGTGGCAAATGTTTGGCTGCCCATTGCGTGATTCAACTTTGCTCTAATAGTCTCAACTCGACTATAATTGCATAATGGCTATAATGACTAAGCCTAAGAAAGGTCTAGGAAAAAAAATTCTTCTGAGAGCTAACTCTTATGAGAATTGTCAAGATTTGAAAGTTTTATAAGCTCTCAGTGAGTGGGAAGTTCTTTTAACGTATTTTTTTTTTTAGGATTTTGCTCTATGTCTACTAAACAGAAGAGAGAGCAGTTACCTGGATTCCAGTTGAGAAAATTTAATGGCGTGTTGTCTGACCATTCCCAGCCCTTAGAAGAGTACAACTGATTTAAGCCAATCCAGAAAATTCTTGCAATGCCTTCTTTTTCTGTAACAATTACATAATTTTAACAAGTGAAAAAGTTATCTAAGTCATTATTTAGGTCAGACTTAAGTTTCTCCTAACAATAAACATATCTAAAGGTCTGATCATAAGGCAGGAGGCTACCTATCCCATTAAAGCAAGTGATGCTGGGAGACAACAGAACCTCAGATTACCAAGAAACCCAAAGGTGATCAGTCAATTCAATTCTGCTTTTCCATTAGCATGTGCAGTTCCCTTCCTTCTAAGGTAAGCACAGGCTCTTCTCAGAATAGCCATTTCACTGCTTTAAACCCTCTTCTATATAGTCAGGAAATGTAAGGTACAGCATAGAAAATACAGTCAGTAATTTTGTAATAGCTATGTATGGTGTCAGATGGCTACTAGACTCATCAGGGTGATTGTTTTGTAAGGTATATAGATGTCTAATCACTGTGTTGTATACCTGAAACTAACATAATATTGTATGTCAACTGTAATTGAAAAAGAAAACAGTTATATACAAAAAAATAGTTTCTACTGCAAATCTAGATTTTGATCTGATTGTGTTTCACGCTGTTAGACTAAATTCATTGAGCACATATTATTTGCCAAGCACTAAAGATACAAAAACTAAAATGACCATCCTGCCCTCATGAGGACTTGAATCTGGTAGAAACAGATGTGGATCCCCCAAATGGTGAAGTGTTACCAGTACTGTTTCAGAAATATGTACAGAAGCTGTTTGGTAGGCAATGGAATATACATCTGTAGAGTCCAAAGTAGATGTTTAAACTGGAAATACAGAATGGGAAACACACACATTTACATGCACTCACAAACACACATGCCACTGTGGAGAAGTATCATTCTAATTTATTGTTTGACAACAGGATGCCATCAGCAAAAAAGAGAGAGAAAGATGGAAAAGCAGAAATATTTTAAATAGCGAGGCTGGCTCTGACACGTGTGGCTCAGTTGGTTGGCCATGAGCCCATAAAGCAAAAAGTCACAGGTTGGCTTTCCAATCAGGGCACATGCATGGGTTGAGGGTTTGGTCGCTGGCAGGGGCATGTGTGAGAAGCAACTAATCAATGTTTCTCTTCTTCTCTTTCTCCCTTCCTCTCTCTCTAAAAATAAACAAAATCTTAAAAAAACAAAAATAAATAGTGAGGCTAATTGCAGAAAAGTCACACAATATGCATATGCCCATAAACAATGGATCCAATCATGCTTGTATGGGTCCACATGTACTAGAAAAACATGTAAAGAATTGTCTATTATTGTAAGGATTTTATGCCACTGTCAAGTAAGTCAACAGAATTATTCAAGAACCTGGTAAGACTTCATTAACACCCTGAAGGAATAATTTGAAGATATTCGGGGCCAGGTAGAAGAGAGAGAACAACTGAATGAAATGATCCACAGAAGACAAGGATGATGTTGGCAAACAGGAAGACCTCACAGGCTGGAATCATTAAAAATATATTGAAATAGTCTCAACATTAAAACACTAAATAATAGTTTCTTAATTCTTCCCAGGATATATGATATATCATTGTACTATATATAATCTATATATCTGTATATATACACACAAAATAGTTGTATTTTATATAATTTATATGTACATTTTATTATATATTCATAAATGGTTCTTAAAGTATGAATGTGTTTCTACATGCAAATTACAGAGATGTATGTGATATATACCATATTGTTCCATTATATATCAGATAAATCTATGTAATTTGCTTGTAGAAAACTGCATGCATACTTTACTTTTTATATAGATACATATCAGTGATTTATACAAAGAAAACTATATCCACATTTTCATATATATATATATATATCTATATACACATATCTATGTTATTTGCATATATAAAACCACATCCATACTTTAAGGGCTTTTTAAAAGAGGGTAGTTTTGACTCTACACAATTTTTGCTTTACTTCAGACTTTAGAACTCAATGCCTACAACAGGTGAGTCCACTGGAACTGATACCAGGGGATGGAAGAGCCCCCCTGGGGAGAGCAGAAATAGCAACAGCAAAGACGAAAGGAGCCAAGGGCAGTCACAGACACCAATGTCCAAGTGGTCTGAAGAGGGTGGTAAGGCCAAGGCCCAATTAATGCTCCGTCAATGAGCAAATATGAAGCTAAGAGTGAATTGCAAAGATACACTGTGCTTTCCAGGGGCTTGACTGCGAAAGAGACAGGGCTTCAGGAACTAGGAAGTAGATATATGTGTCAATATTAATGGTAAAAGTTTAAACAAATTTATAGCCTTTTGGGGAAGAATCAGAGAGTTGGTAAAATATAAGAAGTAGAAGAAACAGCTGGTATGGATATAAAGAGCTCTGGGGAAGGGGTTAACCTTGAACAAGCTGGAGGGTTGACTGCAGATAGAGATAAATTTGTCTAAGTATTAGGGTAAGAAACTAAGGGTTTGCCTCACTGTTCTCAAAGAAATAGATGGTAAGGATACTCCGTTAAGGTAGGAGAGGGTGGGTATTTGAGGTAATTTTGGATTCATCCTTTTCTTTCACCTGCTAGCATAAGCAAGGGCTGCCAGCACTAGTATACAAAGACCTTGAGGATTTAATCTAATGTAAATGTCTCCCTATTAGTAAAAGCAGTTAATTTTCCAGCTTTCCAAAGAAGTCCTGGAAACTACATATTTATGGTACTCCAGACTCAACCACCCTGACATTCAGATTTCTTTTTATTCATTTTTAATCAGGGATACCACGGAGGGCCAATCCTCCCCATCCATCCCAAATTCAGTGCCCTCCCTTCTGTGAAGTCTTTCAGATATCCCCAGCAAGAAGTCTAAACATCCTACTGCTCCTTCTAAATTATCTTATTGTTTATCTGCACATGGCAAGCACACACCTGTGATAGAACAAAATAACCTTTGGAAGCTGTCAGGCTCCTACTTTGCTTTATTATACCGCGCTATTTGTGATCCGCATTGGTGACTTATTCTTCACTAGAATCATAGGATTTTAAAATTGTGACTGGGTTGGCAAAGAGGAATACTCTTTATGTGTCTTCTGTCAAGTGGACATGAATGGGAAGTGGATAAATTCTAAAGGGCAGGAATTTCTTATATAGCCTGGAAATATGGAGCTGAACTCTTTGCTACATATAGTCCAAGCAAGAAGTTGACCATTCGAAAGTCTACTTTGTCACCAATAAATAGGTAATTGTTAGCATAAAACCCCATATCTAATCAAATAGGCAAGTCCACTGAGGTAGATATTTCTGGACTGTCCCTGAGACCTCTGTTCAGCGCTGACCTGTATTTCTACTCCTCTCCCTAGAAGAAAAGACTACAGGACCTGATGCGCCAGATGAGACTCTTTACTGCATCAGAAAGGCCACAGTCAGCAGGGGTCCTGACTTAGAAGTGTCCTAGTGTTGGGTCACTTGACAAGATGTCTCAAAGCGAAAAGCTCCCTTGTAGTGGAGGCAAATGAAGAAAAATGAAAATGTTCTGTTCCTGCTCTGGGGACTGTTGGGCTCTCTTTTGTTGCTCTGGGGTGAATCTGTGCTTAGAGGTCCCATGGGAAGTCCAGAGTCATGGAAAATTTGTTTCCCAAACAAAATCTTGAGAATATAAGGAAACCAAGTCCTCCTCCCCAACATTCCTCTATCTGTTAAAAAAAAAATCAAAACAAAACTAATTAGGTGCAGGGCAGGCAGAAAGGAAAAAGAGAACCCTTTCATAACTGTATTAGACTTATCTTCAAGGGGGCTACTTCTGTTTTTTTTTTTTCCTGGCAGGAGATTTTCTGGTCCCACCCAATCACTAGCTAACAAGAGGTTATTTGGGGAATAACCATCTCCAATATGCTCTACTTATGTACAACTCTTATTTCCCTGACTATATTAAGCACTTTGATCATAAAATCTGTCTGATTCACTTTTGTTAACTTAACTGCTCCTAGCCCAATGTTTACACATGGTGGTTTTCAGTGAAGGGTCACTTAACAGAAACTTTAAGAAACTTTCAAGATATGGATACTCTCACTTTCAAATGGTAAAGTACAGCTTCCTTGGGTTGTGGGAAACCAGAAATTATAATTGGGCATATTGATATGCCTAAACAGCATTTCATAGTAAAGGAGGAGTTTGAAACCTCAAAAAGGGATATATCTCTAAAATTATTGATATACCTAAAATGTAGCGTGTTACTGGCCAGGGGTAGGGGCAACTGGGCCCTTTAACATATCATTTCACTTTTATGAGTTATTAACGAAAAGAAATACTGCAATATTCATTCTTCCAAATACATCGTTAGCTTGTTAGAGTGTTGGCAGTCACACTTTGACACTTCTCCTTTTTTATAATCATCACTTTCAAAATAATACTCCAGGGAGCTTAAATTTATTGGCGTTTTTCACGCTTAATAGTATTTTTTCATAAGGTTTCAGTGAGGTCTGAAATAGAATTCCATAGCCATACATGGGCCCAATAGGCTTATTTGGTAGATTTCCATTCTGGAGGTCTGATTATTCAAGTATCAAACAACAGAGGAAAATGTTAAAGCTGTAAATAAGAAAAGAGGTATGCATAGGCTTTAGCCAAAAAGCATGACAAAAGGCCAGGAGACTTTTAATGATAAAAAGAGATAAAGACATGTAAGAAGAGTAAGTAGTGTAATAAAAAGTCAGGGCTCTGGGATTATGTATGTTGATATTCAAATCCCAATTCTGGTACTTCTGGGCTGTCTGGGTATATTATTTCTGAGCATCAATTTCCTTATCTGTAAGTGGGGATAAAATACTTGTCTCTGATGTTGTAATGATATTAAATCATTTAATGTACCTGGAGATATTAGGGCTTTGTTCATAGTTAGCATTTATCAAATATTTACAATTATTATAAAACAGTGTGAAAGGACTCATTTGAATAAGTCAATATGTATTTAATACATAGCAATAATGCTTAGAGTTTTGTGCAAAAGGGAAAAACAAACCATGAGGCCCATCTCTGCCTGCAAAGAACTTAATAC